ATATATATATATGTATATGTATGTATGTATATATATATGTATGTATATATATATATGTATTAAGGGTGTAACGATATTAAAACCGAACCGAAATATCGCGATACACCAACCACGATACGTATCGCGAAACTCTCGTGGCGTACCGCGGTACTCTCACGCCCCCTGCTGCCCATTGTTGAGGTTGACGTCACTTGTCTCTAACTAATTGAACCAATTTAAACACATCTTTAATATCATATTTGATTAAATTGTTTTAGTAATGATGAGGATTTGTTCTAAATATTATATTCTAAAGTTAGTATTTTAGTGCATGTTATGTCATGAGTGAGCATCACACTCGTTACTACTGGACGCAGGATGGCTGCTTTACATAGTTCTGAGATTGCAGATCCCCCAGACACATTTAAGTCATCTGTGTTGAAACATTTTGGTTTTCCAGTTGAGTACAGGAATAGAATTCGTGTCGTAGACAAAGCGCACGCCTGTCTGTCTCAACTGTTTCACGAAACTTACTTGTAAGGAAAAACATTTAAAAAGTGTGGTAATTTCACAATGTGAGGGTGTAAGCAACAGAACTGCCAACAAAAGTGATTTATTGTACAAAAGTAAAACCAGAATAATGCCCAAATATAAAAAAAAAAACAGAAATATTTACACTAATAAAAATAATATAATAAAGTAACAAATTCAAACAAAAGTATCAAACAAAAATTAGTTAAACTCGAGCAAGGGGGTGATAGTGAAGACAAACAAAAGAAATAAATATAATAAAACAATTCTAACTCATGAATAACCCCTCTTACCTCGCTAAAACTGATGAAAAGAAAAAAAAGGTCTTCAGCGCCGTCCGCCGCATTCTTCCCTATACTGAATAAAATAAACAAAGATGACCTTCACCTCTTACCTGATGTCTTTAACAATACATTTTCTACCTGTTTGCAAAATGGAAATCGTATGACATTTTCCCTATCCACCTTACACTAAGAGTGAATTTGAGGAGATACAGCTATATTGTCGGGAAGGAGCGGATAATATACAAATCAATTGAAATAAAAATGTACAAACCTCACAAAATTTCTTAAAGTGGGCAAAAGTAATGCAAAATAATTTTACCCAAACGAAAGTTAAGCAAAAACAACGAAAATCATAATCATGTCAGAAAAATACACGAAAAACGAGATCAAAGGAAAAAGCGCTCTCTCTCCCGCTCTTCCTGACATGCATTTTACATTCCCGCTGCGTCGCCAAATGATAATAGAGCGGTCTCCTGACCAATCAGCTGTCAAAAAGGCGGACCTATAGAAATGACAGGCAGCAGCTGTCGTTAAGGCGGACCTACAGTGCATAAATGACCGGCATAGAGGGAGCGGTAGAGAGAGAGAGAGAGATCGGGAGGCAAACATACAGCCGGCTACAACCCTAACATTAGTTTCAGACACAACCGCAATGTATTTTACTGGTGAATATGTCATGAAAAAACACTTTACAAACACATTATATGTATATTTTTTATTAATTTAAACGGAAACCTATCTATCTAAATGAAACCATATAATCAAAAATGAGCGTGTGTGTCTGCACAGAGATCAAGCCTCTCATCTGAGAATGTGGATATTATGGTGTTTTTGAAGAAGATCTTTCACTAGTCTACACTGCAGTTATTTATTTCATTTTAGTTTACTTAGTTAAGATGGCTGCACTACAGAGAATAGTTTTTTTCTGATTGGAGGTATTTATTTAATTTTAGTTGTTTACTCGGGTATCCTGACTGTACTAAAAATGCGATGACAAAGTTAATAAAGAAAAAGTTAAGATGTTCTTGTTATTAAGTGAATTGTCCCTTAGCATTGCTGTTAACATGACATCAACCCTAACCCCACAGCAAACAGAAACCGAACCGTACCGAACCGAACGGTGGCTCCAAAACCGTGAACCGAACTGAACCGTGCCTTTTGTGTATTGTTACACCCCTAACAATTACAGACACAAAGCTAATAGAGAGTCCTCTTAAACCACTAAAACAAGTATATGTGTGTTTACAATTGTGTGTGTGTCTGTTTGTGCGTGCGTGTGTGCAGGCCGTGTTTCAGCAGTAATATCCCTCTGATGCGAGTGGTGCAGTCGGTCAAACACAGCAAGAGAAGAGGCAGCGGAGTGTTGAAGAAGGGCTGGTTAATCCACAACACCAGCACCGACACACTGGTCAGAAAACACCACACACGTCTGAAGAATTACTCACAATGGGCTGTTGATATATATAAGTCTCATTTTAATCATCAAAAGTTGTCAGATCAGACATAATTACCCCATGATGAAATCTGAAAACTTGCGGATTTTCATTTCATACATTTTCTTTGCAGAAAAAACGTCACTACTGGGTGTTGGATGGGAAAAGCATCACCCTGTACCCCAATGAAAACACCAGCAAGTACTATAAGGTGTTTATAAAGTCCCTTTTCTGATGCAGCGTTATACGAACACTCCTCTTTTTAAACATCTCCTCATGTGTATGTATGTGTGTGTGTTTAGGAGATCTCCCTGTCGGAGGTGCTGCAGGTTCGAGGAGCAGATCAGATTAGCGGCGATCACTCATTGGAGCTGCAGACGGGCTCTCTGGTGTACTGTGTGTTTGCTGAACAGGACGGTCCGGCGTGGGAATCGGCCCTCAAGCTGGCCCTTAGACCCGTTCAGGGCTCCACAGCAGAGGACTCAGAGGAGAACGGTCAGACAAACACAACAGGCTCATAACAATAACTGATTCATTGAGTTTACGAAGGCTGCTGTGCTTTAAAAATATATTTTTATAGGTGGGCATAGATATATTTTCTTATCTAGATTAATTTCACTTTAATCTTGGAATTAATCTAGATGAAAATGGCTCATTTAAATTCTGCCGAAGACGTTCAGAATATGTGTGCTACCCAAATAATGACTAAAACTAAGGGCCCTATCATACACCCGACGCAGTGTGGCACAAGGCGTGACGCAATAGTCTTTTGGTAGTTTCAGCTTGGCGCAAGAGTGGTTTTGAGGCGTTGCGCTACGCTGTTTAAATAGCAAATGCATTAACGCTCATATGTGCGCCCACAGGCGTTCTGCTCTAAAAAGGAAGGCGTTCTGAAGCGGACCGTTGGCGCGTCGCTATTTTGAGAATCTATAATAGATTTTTCATTAGACCAAAACTAACCCGGTCTAAACTCCAGCGCAGAGTTGCACCTCGCTTACGCACTGCTTAATACGCACAAGAGAGCAATAGGCAAATATCTTTACATATGAAAAAATGTAAATATTAAGGATATATATAGGATATAATAAGAATAGATATAGGATATAAATAAAAAGGATTAAAATATTACAAAACATATTATTTTCTAGCCTACATAAATATGAAAAATCACTGCTTTTATGTCTTCTTCATCTCGGGAGGCTTTTTCAGTTCATTCATAACAATTTGCTTTTGTATAATGTTATTATTAGTAGCAGTATTATTTATTATATCCATATTTATATTTGTTTTATTAAAAACAAGCTTAGATTTGCCCACCGGTCAGGTTTTAGACCATATGGGGCACAGCATGTGTTTTAGGATATAACTCAGGTTTTTGAGCACATTTTGTTATTATTGTTCATTTATTCGTTTGCTGGAAATTAGAACTGAATTTAGAAACAGTTTTGAAACGAATATTAACAAACGCAATAAATTATTTATAGACTAATTGATGTCTGTGCGTAAAGGTTTCCCTATCCAAGAGCGAAAGTGAAAGTGATTCATTATCTTTCATTCTCACGCAGTAGATGCTCTGTTTAAGTTTTCTGTTAAAAAAACTGTTAACTGTTAACTGTTTGCTCGTGAAATGCTCAGTTTTTCCACTTAGACTTACTTTGCGTCCTGTAAATAGCGAATGCGTTCTTGGCGCGACGCAGCTGGGTCTTAAAGGGAATGGGAGATGAGATCTTAATTGGTTTTTTCTCAAAACACACCTATAACTCATTAAGAAAATAAACTCAACCCTTTTAGAACATACGCCTTGGCGCAAAGTGGATTTTTCCGTCCTTAAATTAGCAAAAATGCGTTCTGACACGCCCTGAAAGCGTTTGCGCCCTGCGTTTTGCGCTCTGTGCATGAACCGTCAAAATAGAGCCCCAAATCTGTTTCCTGGCAGCATTTCTAATGACTTATAACTGATGTTGTCTATTTTTCGATGTGTATGTCGTCTATGATGTGAAATATTGTTGTGTTTCTTCTCTTGTCAGGTGATGAAAAGAATGGAGACAATAGTCAGGTGGGGAAGCTGCATTGTCACTGTTAAATTATAACTTAATTATGATACTATTCATTTTTTACTATTCATGTAAAATATTCATTTACATTTGCCAATTTTCACTGTGGTCAAAGTTTTATTGTGTTTTTGTCTTGTTTTATATCTGTATGTGTACATAAAACTAAAAAAGGTAGATTTTTTTTGTTTCATTTAAAAAATAAGAAGTATTTACATGTCTACTAGTTAAAATAAAACAAGTCTTTTCCTCTTATTCTTATTATTATTAGAGTGAATTTCAAGTCACATTTTTATTAATGGTGTTAGTTTTAGGCAAACTCAATACCCCTGTTCCTGAACAGTAGCCATTGTGTTCTGCTGTGTGTTTCAGGACATCAGCGAGCTCTACCAGATCTTCTCGGATGAGGTTTTGGGTTCGGGTCAGTTTGGTGTGGTTTACGGAGGGACACACAGACAGACGGGACGACCAGTCGCTATTAAAGTCATCGATAAAACACGATTCCCCTCCAAACAGGAGCAACAGACCAAAAATGAGGTCGCAATACTCCAGGTAGGAGTTTAAACAGTTCACGGACCTAATGTACCGACACACATCATTTTTCTGTCTGTTTATGTCTGTCTGTGCTGAGAAATCTGAATATCAGAAGCTTAAACCTATATACAGTTTGTTGAAGTAACTGAGACGCAAGGAGTTAAGGATATTTTGAGCTGAATTTTCATGTTTCATGTGACACATTCTGTCAAAAGAGGCATAATAGGCGCCCTTTAAAACGTGATGTTGAACCAGTTCAGACTAATGCTGTGGTTGTTGTTGTTATGTGTGTGTTTCAGAGGCTGTCTCATCCAGCAGTCATTCACTTGGAAGGCATGTTCGAGACTAAGGAATACACGTTTGTAGTGATGGAGAAGCTCCACAGCGACATGCTGGAAATGATTTTATCTCATGAGAACGGACGTCTGCCCGAACGCAACACTCGCTTCCTGGTCACTCAGGTAAATAAACTCAGTCACAATGAAAATGCCTTCTTCTAACATTAGTCCCAGTTTCAAAGGGGGAAACCATTCCTAAATTTCCCAGAGCGATGTCTGTGGTTTTTAGCTTTGATAACCATAAATAATGTTGTTGACTAATAACTAATGTGATTGCTTGGGCCCTCTAACAGTAGCTCTCAGCTCTTATTTCATTCACTCCTCCATTCACTTTCCTTCGGCTTAATCCCTTATCTGTCAGGGATCGCCAAATATTCTACCGTTTTACATAGCGGATGCCCTTCTAGCTGCAACCCAGTACTGGGAAACACCCATAGACCCTCATTTACACAAACACACACTCATATGCTATGGCCAATTTAGTTAATCCGATTCACCTATAATAATAATACAAGATTAGTATTAGCACTGTCACCTCACAGAAAGAAGGTCACTGGTTCGAGTCCTGGCTGGGTCAGTGTGCATGTTCTCCCTATGTTGGTGTGGGCCTACTCCGGGTGCTCTGATTTCCCCACAGCCCAAACACATGTGCTATAGGAGAACTGATTGACTAAATTGGCTGTAGTGTATGAGTGTGTATGGGTGTGAATGAGTGTGAATGGCTTTGTAAAACATATGCCGGAATAGTTGGCGGTCCATTCCGCTGTGGTGACCTCTGAAATAGAGATTAAGCCGAAGGAAAATGAATGAACGAATAAAACCTTTGAAATACAAAAGCCACAGAAAAAAAAACATCTAATTATTAGTATTATTTTGTTGTTATCTTCATGTGGTGTTCAGGGCTTTGCATTAACTTTTTTAATCACCGGCCACTGTGGCAAGTAGTTTTCCAATGTTACTAGCCACTCTGCATTTTGACTAGCCACAATTTTGTGTTGTCCACATGCGTCCTCATTCATTTCACTTTTTGTGTGTCGAGTATGAGCTTGCTCAATGAGCATGAGCAAAGGAGTCATGGTTTCATAGTGTTATATTGCAATTAGTTTTAATATTACATGACTTTTGTAGAGCTCAAAATTAACGATGTACCAAATTTATCTCTGCAACCACACTAAACAATAATTATTTCTTAGCCACAATTTTTTATTGTGTCAAAACAAGCAAAGTATAGTTGTGTACTATACTTTTTATTTAACAAAACATTTCTTAAAAAAGAAAGAAAAGCAATTGACTTAAAAAAAATAACTATTGTCATGTGTCAAAAATATATAACTCTCAGATCACCAGATAACTGAACAAATTATATATATATATATAAATGGAGAGTTCATCTCCCATTAAAGCAACGTAGTAAAAAAAAAAATGAAACCATTTTAACAAAAATAAAAGCAAATAAAAGCGTAAGCAAATGAAAGCAGGTGAAACATACCGTGTGTGATAATGAAAGAATGATCACATGCTCACGGTACTTTAGGCCATTTAAATCTGTTCAAAGTGAAAGCAACCGGTGCTGCTTACAAAAAGAAACATTTTGAGCTCTTGAAAGCAGCAGGACTGTGGATGCATGTTCATCGCTATTTGTCTAGTTTATTTGAAAGAGAACCGATGACAGTTGCGTTTGCAGAACCTGTTCCAGACACGGTTGGTTCACGATTCGGGAGCGCGCACGCGTTAAGCAGTCGCGTGCATGCTTTTTAAGCAGTCGCGCGCATCACATCAGCTGTTAGCGCGAGTGATGATCATTCTCTCATTTTGTATTCATTTGCTTTCTTCTGCTTGCATGATCACAATTATTTTACTCCTCGATTCTAAGATCACATTTGCACGCATATTGGGCCATCCTTATATTGTCGAACCCTGATTTTAGGAAAACTACAATTTAAAAATTATTTTCAACCAGCCAAAGTGGCTAGTGGAGGTGTCTGTCTAACCCGCCAAAGCTGAAATCTACCCGCATTTGGCAGGTTAGCGGGTGTTAATGTAAAGCCCTGGTGGTGTTCTTTGAGCCTTTAACATCCATGTCATCTTTCCTTTCACTAAAGTTTATTCATAGTGCCAGCATTTTTATAATGTTCTTCAAACTAAGGAAACTGGTTCTTGTAATGCTGTTTATTGAAAGTTTCTTTAGTGAACAAAATATGTTTCTTCTTTTTTTTAAACAATCCCCAGTGGATTTGATTTGAAGAGTGTAAATGAATAAAGAAGACTTCAGAAGACTGAGTGTGTTGTTGGTGTTTTAGGTTTTGGAGGCACTGCGGTATCTACACATGAGGAATATCGCACACTGTGACCTGAAGCCTGAAAACGTGCTGCTCGCTTCACCTGAACCCTTTCCTCAGGTCTGTTGACACTTGAATATGACACAAACCTAAAGCAGTCATTTCCTGTTATGGATGTCTTTAAAGTCCATGTGATTTCAAAAGTTACTATGTTTATGTTGCTAGTTCACGTTGTTATTCCTAAAGTGAATAATTAATCTGTGCAGGTTAATCTGCTGAAGAAAAACATTATTTGTTTTGGTAATCTTCAATCAAAGTCTGACCATCTGTTTTCGCGTTTGGAATGTCAGTTCTTCTGTTGATATCATCCTGTGGGTTTCCATAGCAACTGTATATTAATAATCTTAACCACGCCCCTCTTACCGTTAATATGCTATTAGGGAATAATGTGTAAAATAAAGCCCCGCCCCCTACTCAATATTCCGTTTCAGTCGAAAGTACACCAACATACTGAAATAGGTCTAAGCAACTTCTGGTTCATTTCGGAAGCTGCAGGCGTGTTTTTTTTCCCACATTGTGATGCAGTTCCTAGAGAAGCAGAATATTAAATGAGCAAACAGTGGGTGTGGCTTGTTTTTTCTTACTGTGAGCTGATTGGATGTATAAAGTAGACATTTCTATCAGAGAGATATGGAAAAGGGTTTGGGAGAGACTTTACAACCTAACAGGCTCCTCCTCCTCACCATTTCTGTTTGTTGTCAAAACTGACAGCAGGAGGGGCGTGGCTAACATACTTAATACCTCAGACAGACCTTATCTGCGTCCGAAATTGCATACTTCCATACTATACAGTACGCTAAAATCAGAATGCGAGCTGTGTAGTACATCTGAATTCAAAGAATTCGAAAGTCGGTATGCGAGAAGTACCCGGATGACCTACTACTTCCGGCGAGGTTCTGAAGTGCGCATCCCAGGCATGCTGCGCTATCCCATGATGCCCCGTGAGAGAATTCATAAATGAGAGTGAAGTGATGCAACGGACGCAGTTCAGTCACGTGACCATGACAAAATGGCGGATGTAGTACATCCGAATTCCATTCATACTACTCACATTCCTACTGTATAGAACGCACTTTTTTAACCGTGGAGTAATCACTTAAATTCAAATGCAGTACCTACTGAGTAGTAGGCGGTTTCGGACGCAGACCTAATCTGAGAATTTAACTGAAAACAAACAGGAATTGTATTTTCAGATGTAGCAAAATTAGCCCCGTTTATGAACATTAATGATCAGTAATAACGAGTTATTAATAATTATTAATATTCCAAATTAACTTGCAATTAATTTGACCAAGGGCGAGGCAGTGGTGCAGTAGGTAGTGCTGTCGCCTCACAGCAAGAAGGTCGCTGGTTCGAACCTTGGCTCAGTTGGTGTTTCTGTGAGGAGTTTGCATGTTCTCCCTGGCTTCGTGTGGGTTTCCTCCGGGTGCTCCGTTTTCCCCCACAGTCCAAAGACATGCGGTACAGGTGAAGTGGGTTGGCTAAATCGTAGTGTATGAGTGTGTGTGTGTGAATGTGTGTGTGGATGTTTCCCAGAGATGTGTTGCGGCTGGAAGGGCATCCGCTGCCTAAAAACTTGCTGGATAAGTTGGCGGTTCATTCCGCTGTGGCACCCCGGATTAATAAAGAGACTAAGCTGACAAGAAAATGAATAAATGAATGAATAATTTGACCAAATAAATATAACCAGACCTCACCTGTTCATCCGAGCGGACTCTGTAATGATCTATTTTTTTAGAAAGGGAATTATAACCACTCCTTGTGAAGTAGATTAATAATTTATAAGTTTTGAAAAACTTAATAACAGCTTGTAGCAAGAAATCGATCATTTAAGTGACTTTTCTTTGAGGCAAACAATACAATTCATTTGATTATTATGGAATTTATTGACTAGTCTGACATATAATGAACCAACGCACAAACATAACAACAAAAACATCGAACAAACGTGGAAAAGAAAAGCAAGCAAGGAAATAAAGAGTTTAGATAAAAGGATGGCAAATCTATCTCCGTTCCACACACTATTAAGGATCACCAAGATTATAAAAACACCTTTTTGACCAGGGCCGCACAGCTTAACGGATAACTAAAATGCCTGGATTTAGTGGGTTTCTCTGTCTCTCTTTTTGCGAGTTTCTCCGATGCGCTGGAGGATGGAGTCCCTTGGTGTCCTTTCTGGATGAGCGGAGCTTGCAGTGCAGATCGGAGCATACGCGAGGCGCAAACTTTAAACTGAGTTACCTTGGCGGAAAAATAAGAAAAACGCGGACTCGAGCGAGTCACACGGGCACAGAAATGCGGTTTGCCCCCTCAAAGGGCCTCTAGGAAAGTTTCTTTCGAACCTCTCTGCACAGATCTGAGGCACAGATGGGTTTTAACTGTGGTGGCAAGTCAAACCCATTTTCTACTGACTTAAGCCCGATTTATACTTCTGCGTCAAGTGACCGGCGTAACCAACGGCGCATGCAACGCGCGTAGCTGTGCATTTATACTTCTGCGCGCTGTCTCTGTTGGTCTGCATTAACACTTCCGAAACGCTAGTTGGCAGTGAGGTGTAAATGTTCCTCTGTGTCGAGTTTCTTCGCTGGAGTTTTGCTCCTGAACACTTCCTGGATGTACAAGTGGCTCAAACTCGCTCATTTTGAGGCAGGAACCGGCGGACGTGCAACAACTTTAACTATGAGGTAAACACAAAATAAAACTTTCCATCCGGAGCTCCTTCACGGGACTCCACACTTGTAAACAATCACTTCATCGGGGTTGCGCCAGACTTGTCAGCGCTACCAAGCTGACCAATCACAGAGCTTGTTGCGACGTGTAGTTACATTTTTTGAGAGGTGCACGTCAGCGACGGCGTAGGGCTATCCGTCAACACCGTAGCATAAGCGTGCGCTTGACGCAGAAGTATAAATCAGCCTTGACCAATGGTTTCCTGGCAAAGTTTGAGCGGGAGATTTTCTTTGTCTCTGGACCGCTAATATGCAAAATAAGGGTCCGCTCGAAGGCATACGAAGAGACATTAACTCAGAGCATTAAAGAATGTAAGCTATATAAATTAAGATCATGCCTCCTAGATCATGAGCTGTAGGCTAATGTTAGCAACAGAATGATACCAGACATGACCCTTTTAGAAGCACATAAACATGATTCAGGCATTCTTAGATTGTCTAGTGTCTTGAAAAGTGCATATAGAGAGAGATGTATATGAAAGAAAGTCAGAAATGAAATACAAAATTTACAAACTCATAACATTAACTTTGACACCAAAATATGGGGATTTCTGAGTCCATTTCAGTGTCTGAGCTTGTGTGTGTGTGTGTGTGTGTGTGTGTGTGTGTGTGTGTGTGTGTGTGTGTGTGTGTGTCTTTGTGTGTGAGTGTGTTTGTGTGTGTCTTTGTGTGTGAGTGTGTGTGTGTGTGTGTGTCTCAGGAGGAAGGGGGGGGGGGGTTGAATTTCCTTTGAAGCTCGGACAGTGAGCGAGATGGGACAGTCTGCATAATATCCTTGAGTAATTCAATTGTCACCCAGAGATTTTCACCGCAGTCGGGTCGGAGCCAGGGGTCATAAACCCACGAACTTAATACGTAACTTTATCTCCTGACTGTACGTTACACAGATTTCCATTAAAAATTACAAGAGCAAACTGTTATTGTTTTCTTAATGCCATGCACAGATGAACTGTTCACCACAAAACTAGCAATGTGAGCTAACAAAATCAACACGGTTAGTTTTAATTTCATGGATACTTTAAATGTGGCGAGAATAACAGCATCCATAAGCGCCTGATCTGGCTTATTTAAAATCAAAGGTCTCTAGGGTATATGCGGAAGTGTGCTAAAGGACTTTTATTTTGCCAGTAACCTGGGTTAAGCGCTTCCGGTGAACTGTACGCCATTGCAAAATCGGCTCGGTTAAGAACTGTTTTCTTTAAAAATCAGTGAGCACTGCCTGAGTGATATCTGATAAAAAGTGGGTCTCTAATTGTACAAGAAGCACCGCATTAAGTTACACTTTTTCCCACCATGTCTTTTAACGGCACATAGTTTACCCCTTTTTTATGATTTAATACTAATATTATGGTTGTTCTGAGTGAGCCAGTTTAGGTTCAGTTCAACACACGGTGCAGATGTTTTTATTATAATGTGTTCAACAGTGTCATGTTGGGGGCGTGTACACAGTTTGCTGTTTTAGGGGCGTGTTGCTTCACTGTTCCGGCTTCCCGCCCAATGTAACAAGGGGGCGGAGCCAAGAGCTCCCACAATCTGTGTTTGCAACAGACAGGCTGACAGACAGAGAGAGAGAAGCTAAGCTAGAATGAGCATTCAGCCGTACATGTACGACTCGGGACACAGACCAAGCAGAGAGTACAAAATCATTTGTGTCTTTGTATAGTGTCGGTGTACAAGTGCCGAGCTTTTTTTACCGAGACTAATAACCACACACTGAATTAACTTTGACTGAGGCACCGAATGCGCCACGGCATGGCACACCAGACTCTCAGTGACGCGGCAGAAACATGAAGTGTCCCGAATTGTCGCGCCACGCATTCCAGAACTCCAAACACAAGCCTCCACCGGGGCAAACACAGCAGCGCGGCGGCCGCCAAGCTGCTGGCCCGAAGCTCCGCCACGTTCACCCACCCAGAACTCCGAAATGCATGGCGCCACGCAAAAGGTACAAGCAATAATTCTGATTGGAGCGATAATGTGGAGAATATTGATCTTGTGTTACATTCATTACATTTAGTCATTTAGCAGACACTTTTATGCAAAGCGACTTACAAATGAGGACAAGGAAGCAATTTACACAACTATAAGAGCAACAATGAATAAGTGCTGTAGGCAAGTTTCAGGTGTGTTAAGTCTAAGAAGGAAAGCGTTAGTAAATAAAAAAAAAATTGTAGTTAGTGGAGGAGTCAGAGAGGGAGTTGCATATTAGTAAGGCAAGTGGAAACTAAATAGTTGAGTTTTTAGTCGTTTCTTGAAGACAGCGAGTGACTCTGCTGTTCTGATGCAGTTAGGGAGTTCATTCCACCAACTGGGCAGATTGAACGCGAGAGTTCGGGAAAGCGTTTTCTTCCCTCTTTGGGATGGAGCCACGAGGCGACGTTCAGTCACTGAACGCAAGTTTCTGGAGGGGACATAAATCTGCAGAAATGAGAGCAGATAAGAAGGAGCAAAGCCAGAGGTCGCTTTGTAGGCAAACATCAGAGATTTGAATTTGATGCGAGCAGCAACTGGCAGCCAGTGCAAACGGATGAGCAGCGGAGTGACATGTGCTCGTTTAGGTTCATTATAGACCACTCGTGCTGCTGCGTTCTGAAGCAGCTGAAGAGGTTTGATAGAGTTAGCTGGGAGCCCGGATAGTAGAGAGTTGCAGTAGTCCAGTCTGGAGAGAACAAGAGCTTGAACAAGGAGTTGAGCTGCATGTTCAGATAGGAAGGGTCGGATCTTTCTGATGTTATAGAGTGCGAATCTGCAAGATTGAGCAGTTCTAGAAATGTGGCCAGAGAAGTTTAGTTAGTCATCAATCATTACTCCAAGGCTTTTCACCATTTTGGATGCAGTAATGTTGAGCCCAATGAGCCTTTCATCAAAAAATAGAGCACGGGTGTTTCTTTAGTGATATCGCTTTGACTCACACGCTGAAAATGGCGGACGTGCAACAAGTAACTGAGGATATGATCGTGACGCAAGGCTGACAATCAATATTGGTGGGCGGGGGGACCGCTCTCCTATGTAGGGTTGCGGCCGGTCTGAAAGCTTCTCCAATTGGTCCACCGTTATTATGTTGTTAAATTGGAAAAAAAGGACTGGGTGTGTTTATTTCACCCCAATATGACGGTCTATACACTATACTTACACACATGTCTGTCCAAACAGCTTGAAAAGTAGATTTTTCACCATAGGTGCCCTTTAAAATATGAGCATTTATTGTACCCCAGTATATTCAATGGAGCTTCTGCGCTAGCCTGCTGATTCTGACATGCGCGTGCGAGTAAACGGCTTTTTTATCGCTTGAGCAACAAAATGAATGCCAAAGTCTATTTAACTGATTATATTTTAATCACATTACAACATTGATGCTGTAAAAGCAACCGTATAAAATGAATAAAGTCACATTAACCGTTCACCGGAAGTTAATCAGTATGGGAAGAAACACAAGCTGTGCATGTACCCTATTATTCCTTAATTTACCAATGGATCTTTGTTGTTAAAGTATGCTCTGTGTTTCAGGTCAAACTTTGTGACTTCGGCTTCGCCCGTATCATCGGAGAAAAGTCATTTCGGCGCTCTATTGTGGGCACGCCGGCCTATCTGGCGCCCGAGGTCATCAATAATCACGGCTATAACCGCTCTCTGGACACGTGGGCGGTCGGCGTGATCTTATACGTCAGTCTGAGCGGGACGTTTCCCTTCAATGAGGACGAGGACATCAATCAGCAGATCACCAACGCCTCCTTCATGTACCCACGCCAGCCGTGGTCCCTCATCTCGCTGGAGGGTAAGAAGACTGACGTACAGTTGAAGTCAGAATGATTCGCACTTCTGTGAATTGTTTTCTTTTCTTTTTTTAAATATTCAACTAATGATGTTTAACAGAGCAAGGAGTTTTACACAGTATTTCCTGTAATATTCTTTCTTCTGGAGAAAGTCTTGTTTGTTTTATTTCAGCTAGAATCAATTTTAACTAAATTTAAACCATTTTCAGGTCAATATTTTTAGCCCCCTTAAGCAATATTTGTTTTGGATAGTCTACAGAACAAACCACTGTTATACAGTGACTTGCCTAATTACCCTAGTTAACCACTTTAAGCTGTATAGAAGTGTCTTGAATAATATCTAGTCAAATATTATTTATTGTTATCATGGCAAAGATAAAATACATTAGTTATAAGCAGAGATGGGCAGTACAAATACTTCGTTACTGTACTTCAGTAGATTTTTCTAGTATCAGTACTTTACTGCACTATTTATTTTTTTGACAACTTTTTACTTTTACCGCTTATATTTTTACACTAATATCTGTACTTTCTACTCCTTACTTTTTTTTTAAATTGGTCGTGTTACTTTCGTTTTAATGTGTTTTGTGGTGCAATCTATATTAGTGAAGTTTATTCATAAACTAATTTCGAGAGGATTACGTGCTTATGATTTATCAGGGCCGGTCTCGCATTTGCTAATCACTATCTTCCAATCATATGAGCCCTAAGCTACTATAAATAGCCACAGTTTCCAGTTCACTTTATCTTCGTTTGGAAGAAACCCCCCTCCTCCCCTATTCTCCTCCTTTACCTCTGATTGGGCGGCACGGCGGCGCAGTGGTTAGCACTGTGAGCCCCACAGCAAGAACACTGCCGGCCCTGGTTCCACAGGACCGGTGGGTGTTTCTGTGGGGAGTTTGTGTGTCATCCCCGTGTCCCCGTGGGTTTTCCCCGGGTTCTCCGGTTTCCTCCCACAGTCCAAAGACATTCAACATGCATAACAATCAAGCTTGTCTAATCCCTTGTGTTGCCTTAGCTACCGCAGCAGGGGAGTTCTGAGATCCACCGAGCTCAGGCTCCCCTCTTGCTCTGCCAACGGTAGGGAAGCCCCGGGCTCGAGGAGCCCTTGAGCTCGGGGCTCTCTCCCGGGACAGCATGCCAAACAAGCTTTTATAAATCATCAGCTAAGTGTGAACTCTTGAATTACTTGTCATTGCGAAATTTGAACGCCTTTTTGATTCAGACAATCTATTTTTGCCGTGCATGGCTTTTTCAACCTATGATCACGCGCCGCAACGCTTGTTTATTAAGCTTTCCATGGGAACGACAAGAATGTGAATGCATGTGACAGGGAGTCAGCTATAAACATGACTAATGTCATGTCATTAAAATGACTAATGTCATGTTTATACCGGGTAATAAGATGCGTTTTGGTTAATCGAATCACAGGTAAACAAGAGACACATTTAAGTTCAAATCTGGCATTTAAATTGGGTTACAGTCTTTTGTCCACTTGCGAACATGTACTGTACTTCTCTGATCTTTCAATCTAATAACGCAAAAAAAAAAAAAAAACTTTAACAATCACATGCTTTTTGTCAACGTTTGTACAATTGGTAGTAAAGCAATGAAATAGTTTATGAATATGGTATGCATTGAGATTTATTCTCTTTGTTTCCGACGAGTTCATATTTCCTTGTACAGAAATGTAAGTTAGATGTATAGATGTAGATGTACAGTGTAGTTACTACCATGAAACTAAAACAGGGAGTGGTAATGAATACTTTTTACTTAAGTACATATTTCACATCGTACTTCTTTACTTTTACTCAAGTCCAAACGTGTAATCAGGCCCGGATTGGCTAATCGGGAGGACCGGGAGAATTCCCGGTGGGCCGGTCTGTTTTTTGGTCGCGAGGGCCGGTGTCCCTAGCTGCTTGCACTCTCAGCAGCCACACTTTTTTTCTTCTATTTATTTATTTGACCATAGCTTTACTCTTTTTAATCATTATTTTACCGTAGTGCCGCTCTTTTTATTTATTTTCTCGCAGCCCCGTGAGAAAAATGCAGCCTGCAGGTTAACTAACGTTAATGATGATGATGTAATGCAACTATCGACCCCAAACAGCGGCACCTTAGTGAATATAAGAATTCGAATAAAATGAATAAAACACCTGCTCAATGAAAATCAAATGATTCACTACATTAATAAATCTGACATAACTTGATCAGAAATCTAAAAATAGGAGAAAAAGATTGAGCCATCAAAAAAAGAAAGTAGTGCTGTGTCTTAAGGGTCGCAAGTCATTAGTTATTTTTTACTCTCAATGTAATAGCGCCAATGTGGTCCAGTGGTAAGCACATTGCATTTCAATGGTATAGACCTGTGATCGAATCTCCCATGAAAAATCTGTTTATTTATTTATTTTTTTCGATTTTATTGTGAAGACATAAAATACTGTTAGGGCTGTTGACCATTTGAATTTCTAAAGCAGCAGTTTTCTTGAAAAAGACGTGATAGTGCCATTAGTAACTGAATTGGAATCAGTCGTGAACTGAGGTGGGCCGGTCTGGCTTGAAACTCCAGGGCTGAAAATGAGTCCCACTCCGGCCTTGCGTGTAATCAGTACTTTTACTTTTACCAGAGTCGTTTTAAACGCGAGTATCTGTGCTTCTACTTAAGTAAAGGATATTTGTACTTTCGCCATCTCTGGTTATAAGAGATGAGTTATTAAAACTGATGTGTTCAGAAATGTGTTGACAAAATCTTCTTTCCTTAAGCCGAATTGGGGAAAAACACATAGGGGTCAAATAATTCTGACTTCAACTGTGCACACTCGTTAATTTACACACAAGTCTGTTCAAATATAAACACTTAATGTGCTTTGAAATGTGCATTGTTTTATTCGATCTTTGACGTAATCGTTACTGAAACATGAAGAGAGGGCGGGACATAGTGTAGCTCCTCCCTCTTTAAAATAAAAAACAGTCATGCTGCGTCTCAAATCGCATACTTATACTACACCCTAAAAGTATGTACTTTAATTGTGAAGGAAAAAGACACACTTTTGAGTGTGTAAAAGAAGAGTATGCAAGCTTTGGGACATACTACTTACTCATAAACAAATCGTTATGTTGCTTAATTACAAGTCCTGTCAATCATCCACACATCATCAACATTTCTTTCATATTTAATGTCCTACCTTATTGGAGATGCAGAAGCAGGATAATCTGCCATTCACCAGTCTTTCATGCAGAGAAATCTCCTCAGGTCTTTGGATAGTTCTGCATTGATACGTAAATGTCCAAACACGCCTTTATATAAGTCCACGTTGTTGTTGCAGATGAAATATAACACGATTTAAATAATAATAATAATAATTCCTTGCATTTATATAGCGCTTTTCTGGGCACTCAAAGCGCTTTTACACATTGGGGGGAATCTCCTCATCCACCACCAGTGTGCAGCATCCACCTGGATGATGAAACGGCAGCAATTTTCTAAAAGATTTCCAGTGGCCTAGATATTAATCATAGATACTACGATTTACTACATACTACGATTTGGGACATACTAATTCTACTTTCAGATACTATTTAGGACGGATAGTATGTGAATTTGGACGCAACATCAATGGTTGACCCAAACATTAGAAAAAACATCCCTTATTTTCTATTTAGGGTACAATATTTGTCCTTCAGGTCAGTTTTGATCCGCCAGCTAGAAAATAATTTTTACACCCCAAACACACTGGATCACACTGGATACACACTTCAACACACATGCACTGTAGAGGTGTTACTTCTGGATTGTTTGGTGATCAGTTCTTTGGACTTGTGTACTGCACTTCATCTAACTGATTGTAATGAAAGCCAGCTAGTAAGTGTTGTGCAGGTAAACCTCACTCCTCTGACCTCTAAAGGTGCTCTAGCGACAGACGCTAGAGGCCATGGTCTTTAGCCTCCTTGTTAGAGCAACTGACTCCCATGCAGAAGGTCAACGGTTCGATACCAGCTCGGAGCAGGTTGGGTGGTGTAGGACTGGCGGGGTTACATTGGTGTCGTGACCCAGATGGGAGTGAGGTTTAGGGTGGTGAATGTAATGGAGGCCAGCTAGTAAGTGCTGTGCAGGTAAATCTCACTCCTCTGACCTCTAAAGCGACAGACGTAAAAAGTGAAGGGGACACTACACTATCAGTGGGCGCCGTCTTTCGGATGAGACGTTAAACCGAGGTCCTGACTCTCTGTGGTCATTAAAAATCCCATGGCACTTCTCGTGAAAGAGCAGGGGTGTAACCCCGGTGTCCTGGCCAAAGTCCCTCTATCAGCCCTTACGATCATGGCCTCCCAATCATCCCCTTTCACCGAATTGGCTCGATCACTGTCTCTCCTCTCCACCAATAGCTGGTGTGTGGTGAGCGCACTGGCGCCGTTGTCCTGTGGCAGCCGTCGCATTATCCAAGAGTATGCTGCACACTGGTGGTGGTGTGGAGAGAGACCCCCCCCCCCCCATGATTGTGAAGCGCTTTGGGTGTATGGCCATACACAATAAATGAGCTATATAAATACACATTACATTACATTACATTACAACCTCTGGATTGTTCTGATAGTCCTTGATAGTCCTCGCTTTCTTTTCCTCGTCTCTTCAGGATTTGAGGGAAGGACATGAGGAAAATATGCAAGAACAGAAGAGTTGAATGATGATATGTTGCTTCTTTAAGCGTCGCTTCAAAATGTTATTTAATTCAGTGAATGCTGTACAGCACTGATTTTGCTTGCACATCCCAGATTCTTGAATATTACAGAAACTAGACAGCACATCTGTCTGTATTTGTTTTATTTTACTTATGATTAACAATGAATTGTTCCCTGTTATCAATGGCTTTTTATTTGTGCTGAGATCAATGGTACATCAAAGTAAAGGGAACTGTGAAAACCGTGCACATTTACAATGACTTTGTGCTTATTATTCACAATAATGTGTGTTTGATTTTTCAGCTAAGCTGATTATCGGTGCAGGTGGGAAGGGGAGGCCAGTTTGTGATGAAGATGAGGTTGTTTCTTCATGCAAAACAGATTTGAGGATTGAAATTTTAATTTTGCTGCTTTATTTTAGAGCAGGGGTCACCAATCTTGGTCCTGAAGGGTCGGCGTCCCTGCAGGGTTTCCTCCAACCTCCTCCACACATCTGCCTGGATGTTTCAAGTATACCTAGTAAGACCTTAATTAGCTTGTTCAGGTGTGTTTGATTACAGTTGGAGCTAAAGTCTGCAGGACAACGGCCCTCCAGGAACAAGTTTGGTGACCCCTGATTTAGAGGTTTAGTGAAGGCGGCTCAATGTTGACCTGAAGGACAAATGGTGTATACAGAAATCTAAAACAACAGGAGGTCCCGTGAAATTAAAATAAAGTTTTTAGATGTTCGGATCAGTATTGTTAGTTTTTAAGATATCTATAAGCTAGTGCTCACCAAAACAGTGGCACAATTCACGTTTAGAAGATATAAAACTGATATAAACATGTAAAGCTTGTAGTTCGTCACTTCCGCCTAAATGGATCATCACAATAAATCATAACCAATTGAAATGCTAACTTGTATCTTACATGCCACGCCCTCTTCAAGACGCCTCTCATTTGCTTTTCATTTGATGTGCTTGAGCTCAACCACTCTCACTGGCAGAGCGCTGATAGAACTAAACACTATTTGGCGGTTTTTAAAAAGGGGAGGAGCAAAAAATTTCCCAACCTCTCAACTACATCAAACATCAAATACAAAGTGCATATTTCAGAGCATTTCACGAGATCTTTAATGTGTTATAAATGAAGAAACACTTTCTTTCTTCTGTTGTTTAACTTCTATGATTTTTCTCTCAGCGGTGAACCTGATCAATAACCTGCTGCAGGTGGTGGTCAGACGTAGGTTCAGTGTCGGCAAAGCAATGGGTCATCCGTGGTTTCAGGTCAGTCCAAGTCCTTCTAATATCATTCCCAAACCATTCCATACTTCATTGACATGCAAATATCATTACCAGTGTTGGGTCCAGTCATTAGTTACTGCAATAACATGACTCTAAAAAAGGAAAGTTTTATTGATAAAAAAAATTTGGGTGGCATTACAATTACAGACATTTACCATAAAATAACGGACGGTAAATTACAGACATTTACCGTAAAATAACGGCAAGTAAATTACAGACATTTACCATAAAATAACGGCTTGTAAATTAGACATTTAACATAAAATAACGGCTTGTAAATTACAGACATTTACCATAAAATAACGGCTTGTAAATTACAGACATTTACCATAAAATAACGGACAGTAAATTACAGACATTTACTGTAAAATAATGGCTGGTAAATGACAGACATTTAGCATAAAAATAACGGCCATTAAATTACAGATATTTAAATCGTAAAATAACGGCCGGTAAATTAGACATTTACCATAAAAATAACAACCGTTAAATTACAGACATTTACCATAAAATAACAGCTGGTAAATTATTGACATTTACTGTAAAATAACAGTGGGTAAATTACAGACATTTATCGTAAAATAACGGCCGATAAATTACAGACATTTACCATAAAATAACGGCTAGTAAATTACAAACATTTACTGTAAAATAATCGCTGGTAAATTACAGACATTTAGCGTAAAATAATGGCTGGTAAATTTTTTAAATTTACATTAAAATAATGGCTAGTAAATTATAGACATTAACCACACAATAACAACCTGTAAATTACAGACATTTACCATAAAATAACGGCCGGTAAATTACAGACATTAACTGTAATATAAAGGCTGGTAAATTACAGACATTTACCATAAAATAACGGCCGGTAAATTACAGACATTAACTGTAATATAAAGGCTGGTAAATTACAGACATTTACCGTAAAATAACGGCCGGTAAATTAAAGACATTAACTGTAATATAAAGGCTGGTAAATTACAGACATTTACCGTAAAATAATGGCTGGTATATTTTATACATTTACATTAAAATACTGGCTGGTAAATTATAGACATTTACCATACAATAACAACCAGTAAATTACAGACATTTACTGTAAAATACCGGCCTGTAAATTATAGACATTTACCGTAAAATAACGGCCGTTAAACTACAGACATTTATCGTAAAATAACGTCCGTTAAAATAAAAAACATTCACCGTAAAATAACGGCCGGTAAATTACAGACATTTACCATAAATAACGGCCGATAAATTACAGAAATTTACCGTAAAATAACCTCCGTTAAAATAAAAACATTTACAGTAAAATAACGGGCGGTAAATTACAGACATTTACCGTAAATAACGACTGGTAAATTACAGACATTTACCGTAAACAACAGCCGGTAAATTACAGACATTTACCGTAAATAACAGCCGTTAAATTACAGACATTTACCGTAAAATAAAGACCGTTAAACTACAGACATTTATCGTAAAATAACGTCCGTTAAAATAAAAAACATTTACCGTAAAATAACGGCCGGTAAATTACAGACATTTACTGTAAATAACAGCCGGTAAATTACAGAAATTTACCGTAAAATAACGGCCATTAAAATAAAAACATTGACTGTAAAATAACAGCCGGTAAATTAAAGACATTTACCGTAAAACAAGGGCCTGTAAATTACAGACAATTCCTGTAAAATAAAGGCCGTTAAATTACAGACATTTACCAGAAAATAACAGACAGTAAATTACAGACATTTACCGTAAAATAAAGGCCGTTAAATTACAGACATTTACCAGAAAATAACAGACAGTAAATTACAGACATTTACCGTAAAATAAAGGCCGTTAAATTACAGACATTTACCAGAAAATAACAGACGGTAAATTATAGACATTTACCATAAAATAAATTTACCGGCTGTTAATGTACGGTAAATGTCTGTAATTTAACAGCCATTGTTTTACAGGGTTTTTTCGGCACTGCAACTGATTTTTTTTTACAGTGTAGTTAAACCTTCAAAATGTCATATTAAACTGAATACTGGTATCTTGAAGAATATCAAGTCAAATAATATTTACTGTCATCATGGCAAAGATAAAATAAATCAGTAATTAGAAAAAAGTTATTAAAACTATTAGGTTTAGAAATGTGTTGAACAGATGTTCTCTCCGTTAAACAGAAATGGGGGGAAAACAACATACATGAGGGCGAATATTTCTGACTTCAACTGTATATCATTGATGTGTATGTTGTTTAATGCAGAACTTCCAGCTGTGGTGTGACCTGCGAGAGTTTGAGCTGCGTATGGGTTATCGATATCTCACGCACGAGTCCGACGACAGCCACTGGAGAGCCTACGCTCAGGAGAAAAGACTCAGTTTCCCAGAACACCTTGCTGAAGCAGCAGAGCAGCAGACGCCGGCCTCGTAGATCTGACATCACTGTGAATACTGTATTATATGAACATCATATCAGTCTGACTATGTACATCTTATTATGGTTCTAAATCATTTTCAATAAATTAAGAAAAGACAAATATAGAGTTGTTTTATATCACATTAAACTCACTCAAACGATTAAGTTTGGTGTTATTTAAAATGAGCTGAACTAATAAAATAATTGAGTTTTTTGGGACAACTTAATTGTGTTATGTTCAATCCACTTAAATTCCAGATTTGGCATAAAGCTGGCACAGGAGGCATTCATCCGGCCCTGGAATACAGCATGTGGGCCAAACATGCCCCTGGTTTAGTAGAGGTGGCACCGTCCTTAAGGCAACACACAATACTTGGGCCAGATATTAAATGTAGTATTTGGCCCAGATGCTAATGGATATGTGGCCATGTCAATTTGGCCTATTTTGTTTGTTTGTTTGTTTGTTTGCTTTATTTATAGAGCACATTTAAAAACAACAGATGTTGACCAAAGTGCTTTACAAAACGACCAGCATACAAAATCTATACCTATATATAAAAAAATTGCAAAATATATAAAAACAGATTCAAATTAATTACAATCAAAGGCAAGAGACAGAAGGTGATTTTTTTAGATGAGACTTAAAAGCACCAAGTGAAGAACATGACCGGATCTGTAAAGGCAGACCATTCCACAGTCGGGGGGCTGCAGCAGAAAAAGCCCTGTCACCTCTAGATTTCAACCGCGTTTTGGGGACACCTAGCTGAAACGTGTTTTCAGACCTGATTGGCCTCAATGAAGTGTGCCAGTGAAGAAGCTCAGAAATGTAAGTCGGTGCCAGACCATTCAAACTTTTAAAAACTAGAAGCAATAACTTATATTGAATTCTAAATTGGACTGGGAGCCAGTGAAGAGACAATAAAACTGGTGAGATACTAGAGAATTTTTTTGTCCCAGTTAAAAGCCTAGCAGCTGCATTTTGAACCAGCTGCAGGCGTGCTATTGATGCCTGTGAAACTCCAGAATACAAAGAGTTACAGTAGTCCAGCAGCAGAGCTGTAGATTTTGTAGATTTTGACCTACATTTGAAAAACATTTTTATTATTTTTGAATAAAGAAAAACAAATCAACCAATCAGGTTTGAGCACACCCACCTAAAAGGCATGTCAGGGTTCTGCCGCTCCGGTCTTGTAAATTCTTGTTTTGGTGGCAGAGCCCAGACACTAGTTCTGTCTTGTCCTGTATGGTGTGCTCGGCTCGAGTTTCCTCAGGTCCAGGGGCGCACTGGCCATCTGGCAACTCTGGCAAATGCCAAAAGGGCCGGACCAATTTTTAAATGTGGGCCGGTCAGTTTTTTTTAATATGTATTGTTTTTAAGTGCAGACAGCTTTAATCTCTTGCTAGATGTGATATTATGATGATGATAATAAAAATAGTAATAATAAATGTTAAGCATTTGGCCCAATTGGCAACTGCCGCCTGGTTTCAAGATGGGCCGACCCAATCCAAGGTTACCCGGAGATAATCAAAATCTGGCAAGAATGTCATATTATTTCACCATCTTTACACCAAAATAAATAGTGAATGTGCGTGTCCGTGGGTGGGGCTGTGTCGGTGTGGTAATGTGGGCTGGTGTGGCAACAGTGCCAGGGCTGAATTTTTGTCCCAGTCCACCCCTGCTCAGGTCGCTCACACTCCCGCATGATGCGGGCGCACGAGGTCTGGGTGTGTTTGGGATGTGCTCTTGTGCTAGTGTTTGTTCTGTCAGCATCACGCTGTTTCATTTGTAGCATCTCAGTCTAGTTGGTTTCGGTTGGCGCTGTGATGAAACATGCGCATTGCATGTGTGAGCGCCTGGTAAGGTGTTTTCATTTATCGTATGCTCAGATCTTGCATCTGTGTATGTTGGTGTTGTCTAAGCATGTGTCTGTGTTTACACTTGGGCCACGTGCTTTAGCGGTGTGCTTTGTAAACACATGGTTAATGAGTTCTTTCATTGGCTGCATGTTCTTGTCCCGTTTTACGTGAGCATGTGGTGTTTTCTTGTGTCATGTGCTCTCCTGTCTGTTGTCTAGTCCCACCCTCCTTGTTAACCCATTATTAGTTTATTATGTTCATCTGTTTGTGTGTTCATTATTTCTGCTTATATTCTCCTCATGTCTGCTGTCCTGTGCCAGTTCGTCGTTGTATCCTGCCTTGTCCTGTTGTGTATTCCAGCCCTGATCCCTGCCAACCTGCCCAGTCAAGTTTGTTTGTTTGTTTATTTGTTTTGCTAATGTTTTCCCCCTCGGGATAGTTTGTTTTGCCTTTTATTTTATCATTAATAAAAAACAATTTTCTCTGCAATCGAGTCCTCGCTCCTTTTCCCCACCACTGAAATTATGACAGGGCAATGCTTCATGGGTTTCTTCATTTTCTTGCAGTCGTGACACACCAACATATCTGGCCCAGTTTAGGCCCAGTTATGGGATTTTAGATTTGCTGAGACTTGGCCCAGAAATGGTCCATGTTTGGCCCGCGGCATGTGGGCCAAGCAAAAGCTGGTTGTGTGGGCCAGAGCTGGGCCAGAGATATTTTGCTATGTGGGAAGCTAAGCAAATTAACCAAACATTTTTTACTGTGCAAGTACATTGTTACAAGTACAAAACATTAGTAATTAGGGACAGAGCACTGTAATGGTGTGTAGGCCCTATTGGAATTGCTCCGTTTCTTCTTTTTCTCCTTCTTCGCAGAATGAATCGCAATTTTGAGGGTCTAAATATGCCAGAAAACTCACGAAACTTTGCACACACCCCAGATGTAGCAAAAATGTTGGTTTGTTATAGGTTTCAGAAGTGAGCGTGGCAAAATTACTTGACAGCGCCACCTATGCAGGTTTGATGGACTGGCCTCCGAGCTACGATTCACGCACATGTACAAAAATTAGCACACACGTCAAACATGCCAAAACCTACAAAACAAAACTTGGTGCGAGATCTCAAACCTAACAGGAAGTCGCATATTTTTAACTTCCTGTGCTGAGAAAGTGCCGTTTTGGCCAGTTCCAAGGAATGTATTTTAACGAACTTCTCCTAGGGATTTTATCCGATCAACACCAAAATTTGGTATTGTCGATTAGGTAAACACCTTGGCGATGATAATTTACGAAGATCTAGAGTTTTTGTTGAAGGGCGTGTCTGTGGTGGCCTTTTAAACTTTTAACTGTTTTTTGATAAGAGTCCTGACCTGAACACGTTTACAAGCCTACATTCAGTTACAGTTATAGCGCCACCTGCTGGCAACAGGAAACGACTTGTTTTACAGTGTAACAAACTCCTCCTGCAAATTTCATGACATCGAATCCATTTTCCATCAGTTTAGTCCAAAGGCCTTTGTGATGCAAAAATGGGAAGATGTAGAGTTTTCGTTGAAGGGCGTGTTTGTGGCGGCCTCACAAACTTTGATGATTCGCCACAAAACAGGAAGTTGCTAAAACTCAGGCATGCTTTGTTCGATCTGCCTAAAAATTCACACGTTTGATAAGAGTCCTGACCTGAACACGTTTACATGGCAATATCTAGCTACAGTTGTAACGCCACCTGCTGGCAACAGGAAATGACATGTTTTACAGTGCAACAATCTTCTACAAATTTTATCACATCAAATCCATATTTAATTAGTTCAGTCCAAAGGCCTTTGTGATGCTAAATATCGAGGATCTAGAGTTTTCGGCGAAGGGCGAGTCAGTGGTTGACTGACAAAAATTCAGTGCTTCGCCATGGAGGGGGAAGTACCCATTTAGCAAAATATCTCTAGCTCAGATCTGGCCCACACAATTAGCTTTTGCTTGGCCCACATGCCACAGTGAAAATTATTTTTTTATTTATTTTTATTTATTTATTTTTTTTCTTCACTCCCATCAGGTGAAGTTTTTTTTTCTCTCTCCGCTGTCGCCACTGCCTCGCATGGATTGGTAGAGCTACGCATCGATGAATTGGCTCTTCAGTGTTTGAACTCTCAGTAATGATTAAATCACACTGAACTGAGCTAAACTGAACTGAACTGAACTTAAACACTAAAACCTGAACTACACTGTTCTAGTTACTATGACCATTTATGTGAAGCTGCTTTGACACAATCTACATTGTAAAAGCGCTATACAAATAAAGCTGAATAAAGCTGAATTGAATTGAATTACGGTTCTTGATTGGACCAAGTCTGGGTTCCAGCCAAGTTAATAACCCATAACTGAGTCAGAAATGGGCCAGCTTTGTTGGTGTTTCACTGCAAAGAAATTTGATAAACCCATGAATCATTGCGCTTTAGACGTGCTATAGGTGTGCTTTTTCTCGAAGCCACCTGATTGAATGTTATATCTTCATTTGAAAATAATTTAAATATATTTTAAACGTGGGTCAAGATAGGCCAAACTTACATGGCCCACATATCCATTATTAACATCTGGGCGAAATGCTACACCTTACATCTGGCCCAAGTTTTCTGTGCCGCCATAAAACCAGGGCCATGTTTGGCACACATGCTGTATGCCAGTGCCGGATGAATGCCTGCTGTGCCAGCTTTATGCCAAATCTGGGCCACTATTCTTTGCTACCTGGGTAGTAAGCTGTATTATATTGTAGTATTTACAACTCTTTGGTTATGAATGCTCCAGCGCACTGTGGAACTTACCATAGTGAACTGATAAACTGCAATTAATACTGTCGTATACTTTAGTTTTTACTACAGTAAATTGTGGTGTATTGTGGTATAATATATAGGTTTTGAAAACCTGGTGTCATTCATTCATTCATATTTATTTTTGGCTTAGTCCTTTTATTACACTATTGTCGCCACATATTTACCATAGAATTAACCCAATATATATTTCCAAGCAATTTAGTACAGTACAGTTAAAAAAACACTCTAGATTACATTTATTTGACCAAAAATAAAGTATGATCATGCCTTGATTATTAATGATTTAATGAGGACAGTAAGGTCTGATTTTGCTTAGACAAAAGTCTCGTCACTGAACAGAAATAATGTCCAGTATAGAATATAAAGTCCTGCTGCAGTGGAAACCGAATGAATATTGTGTCTGACTCCATCATGAGCTTGGAGGACTGCATCCATACATCTCTGACATGACTCAAATCACTGATTAATAAAGTCATCTGGATTTGGCAAAGACAGCAGGACTCCCAGAGTTCATCAAGATTCTCTGGATTCATCTTCATTGACTCCTGCTTCTTCTTACCCCAGACATGCTCAATAATGTTCATGTCTGGTGATTGTGCTGGCCAATCCTGGAGCACGTTGACCTTCTCTGCATTCAGGATCTTTGATGAGGAGGCTGAAGTATGAGGAGGAGCGCTGTCCTGCTGGAGAATTGGCCCTCTCCTGTGGTTTGTAATGTGATGGGCAGCACTAATGTCTCGATACCTCGGGCTGTTGATGTTGCCATCCATAGATTTCTCCTTCAGCAAACTTGACTGATCTCTGTGAGAATATTGGGTCCTTGCAGGTTCCAGTAGGTCTTCTGCAGTATTTGTGATGATTGGGAAGCAGTTCAAAAATCGACCTGCTGCCACTTTTACAAATGATAAACCAAAAATCAAGTTTTTATTTGCTGCTCTTACAACTGAGATCAATGACAAGACTTTTGTCATGGTAAAATAAAATAACTACAGTGTTTTAATGTGGAACGCACACTCTTAATCATAGCTATATCAGCTCACCGATTTAAAGCCCACCTGAAATCAAAGCATCCATTTTTATTTGTTCGTATCCCTGCTGAAAAATCCAGTTTAAACCGGCCTAGGCTAGTTGGCTGGTTTTAGCTGGTTGACCAGAGGTTTTAGAGTGGTTTTTGTCATTTCCAGACTGGTTTCCAGCCATTTTCCAGACTCGTTTTCAGGCTGGAAAATGACCAGCAAAATCCAGCTAAAACCAGCTTGACCAGCCTGGTTTAAGCTGGATATAGCTGGTTTTGGCTGGACTCCCAGCCCGGCTAGGCTGGTCAAGCTTGTTTTAGCTGGTCATCTCCCAGCCTGACCAGCTAAGACCAGGTTGAAAATGGCTGGAAACCAGTCTGGAAATGGCCAAAACCCCTCCAAAACAAGGCTGGGGGACCAGCTAAAACCAGCCAACCAGCCTGGGCTGGTTTAAGCTGGATTTTTCTGTAGGGATATCAATATGCTAGTCTTGATGGTGTTATCTTTAAGCTAGTGTGCTGAAAAACAATGATAAAATTTCAGATGAGAAGATTTAAAAATGTTAAACTTAATGACATACAGAATAATGCCAGAGCTGCAAAGATATGAAGAGCATATATAACAGAGGTACTGGATATATAACAGGTTTAAAAAGACCCATCTCTCACTGACCAAGGTCCAGAATTTGTCCCATACATGAGCTCATTTGTCCCACTTTGAGTCCTATGCCATAATAAAATTATGAAAACAATCCCTTGACGAAGGCTTTAACACCAAGCCGAATCCTGTGTTGACCTGCTGCGGCAGCATGACTGAGACTGTTGCTATTTAAATAAATGAAATTTAAATGACAATAGGCTAGTTGTTAAAGCTTTAACAGATTCCTATTTTTTTCTAATGAAATAATATGTAATTGATGTATATTGGATGTATATGATGTAAAGGATAATTGATGTAAATCTTCAGGAAATGTTTTTGGTACATCAAAAAAAAAAAACATACAGAACACTGGAACATAAAAAGATTTAGAATTATAGAATAGTTATATATAAGTACATAATAAGTCAAACAAAGTAAAAAAATAATAAATAATAAAAAAAAATACTAAAAATATTACAATTAATGCGGTTTCACACTTTGATATGGATCAACGATTTTGATGACGTCACTCCACACTTCAGCTTGTCGTCAGACTTTCAAGATCTCCGGTTTTTGGTAATGATATATTTGTTAGTTTGTTGATATTTAGGTTATTTAATGTTTGATAAACATACATTATTTGTCCGCTACGTTTTTTTTACCCCGGAATCGGGACCCTTATTTTAAAAAAGACGACTTTCCACCTGAATGGGACTCTTGTTTTGTCTTAACGCGGAACTTGCGCGTACGTCACTATCAACGTGCGATCTGAGGATGGACACAAACAGAGCAGCGAAGGTGTGACTTTAATCATCATTATTTTAATATTAAGTGCTGTAATCGCTATTAGTCTGGGTTTTGATTAGACAGGTTATATATGAGGGTGTGCTACATTTTAATCGCTCGTTCAATAAGGTTAGCTCTAATAACGTCATTCCTACAGCTCCCGTTCATTTAGTTAATTACATCATCATCATAATTATCAACATAATTACTTTAAGAAGTTAATCCAGGACTGACACATTTATAAAGCTTTTGCTTGTTGTTCTAGTCTTGCTGTTTGTCAGTTTAAGGAAACTTTTATCCTGTTTAATAATATGTATGTCTGTACTGTGGATGGTAATGTAATGTCAGACCTGAACATTTAACGTTAAACTGTGAAAATAACAGTAAACTGTCAGTTTCCCTGTAATTACTTGTATTGGGTTTAAGTAAAATATTGATATTTATTATACAGACACACACATTATTTGACCATTCTCTGGATTTATTCATTCATTTATTTTCCTTTGGCTCAGTCCCTTTATTTATCAGTGGTCGCCACAGCAAAATGAACCACCAACTCTTCCGGCATATGTTTTACACAGAGGATGCCCAGCTGCAACACAGTACTGGGAAACACACATATACACTCCTAAATTCCCTTATAGCGCATGTGTTTGGACTATGGGGGAAACCGAAGCACCCGAAGGAAACCCACGCCAACACGGGGAGAACATGCAAACTCCACACAGTAATGCCAACTGACCCAGCCGGGACTCGAACCAGCAACAGTGCTAACCTCTACCGTGTCGCCCCTCTGGATTTAATATTTCTAGTTAAATGTTTGATTGAAGCATAATTTTAATTTATTCTGCAACCTGCAAAAAAAATGTGCACAGAGAGAGAGAGAAAGACTATAATTAGTGATTATGAAAAATATAGCATCACATTGAAAATAAATTAAACGATTATGAAATAAATGTGTCTAATAAATATTTAAATGAGATTTTTTTAATCGCTATCCAAAATAAAAGTTTGTTGTGACATCATATATGTGTGCGTTCTGTTATAAATACACACATACATGCATATATTTAAGAAAACGTTTATTTATTTAGATGTAAAATGTGTAGATGATTCAAATGAGGGATACATTTAAATATCGTATGCAACAAAATAGTTTTGTTTATATGAATGTGTGAACATAATAAACGTATAATAAATATAATACACATATTAAGTCATAACAAGTTTAATTTAGGATGTGATTAATCTTTGCCCGGCAGTAATGTAAATACACGCTCTCTCTTATTCCTGTTTGTTTGTGCAGCTTGAGTTTGCGGTGCAGATGTCATGTGACAGCTGTGTTAATGCAGTAAAGGCCGTCCTGGAGAAAGATCCAGGTGAGTGAAACCCAGAATCAAACACTCTTCTGTGCCAAGGATCTGTTCTCTCTTTCATATGCTTCTTTATACACACAGTTGAAGTCAGAATTATTCCCCCTCTCTTTGTTTTTCCCCTAATTTCTGTTTAACAGAGATATTTCTTTCAACACATTTCTAAACATAATAGTTTTAATAACTCATTTCTAATAACTGATTTATTTTATCTTTACCATGATGACAGTAATATTTGACTAGATATTTTTCAAGACACTAGTATTCAGCTTACAGTGACATTTAAAGGCTTAACTAGGGTAATTAGGGTAAAGTCAGGGTAATTAGGCAAGTTATTGTATAATGATGGTTTTAATAATAATTTTGTAATAATTTTGACTTTAAAATGGTTTTTAAAAATTAAAAACTGCTTTTATTCTAGCAGGGCTCAACAATAAGGACTGCCCGGTGACCCGGGGCCAGCGTGAAAGACACTCGGGACAGTAGACAGGATTGTTACTGGCCCCTATCGGCCAGTAACGATGAACGCGTTTTTTTTTTTTTTGTAACCCAGTAACAACCAGTACAGCGAAGATGGCAACATGGCGGCAAAATTAAACAATGAGGCTAAAAGAAAACGTCTGTTTCTAAAGTCTTAGAAGCAGACAATTACATTGGTACAAAATCAAGGAACTGAAAAGAAAGAACAAAAAAAAAACAGTTGTCAGTTTGGCAAGCCATTTGTATAAAAATTATTTAGAATTGCATTAAAATACCTGCACATTTTTCATACTGCTCTTTCATTTGCATAGTCTTGAATTTTGCTCATTATACATTTATTAACATATTTAAAATGTTTAAATTCTAGATTAACAGGCATAATTTTGCCATTATTTAAAATATGTGGCCAAGAAATAGCTATTAACTTTTTAGTTTTTTTTTGGTGGGGCCAATGAAAATTTTGGCAGGGCAAGTAAAAATCTCAACCAATGGCCCGATCGGACCCGTATAAAAAATCCTTAGCGTTAAACCCTGTCTAGCTAAAATAAAAATCTCCAGACGAAAAAAAATATTATAGGAAATCCTGTAAAAATTCCTGACTCTGTTAAACATCATTGGGGAAATATTGCAAATAGAAAATAAATTCACACGAGTGTGTGCGCGTGTGTGTGTGTTTCAGGAGTGCAGTCAGTGCAGGTAAACCTGTCTAAGGAGGAGGTTTTGGTGGAAACGGCTCTGACGTCTCTTCAGGTCCAGACTCTGATCGAGAGCACCGGCAGACGAGCCGTGCTGAAGGGAATGGGAGGATCAGACTCAGGTCAGCCCGCACACACTGATCATCTTTATGTGCTGTTGGGGGTGCTTTCATCCGCTCTGGGTTAATTTTAAGTCTTAATTTGGCCACAGATTTCTCAGTGTTTCAGCAGATGCAATGATTTTGGGTGATGAATCTTATTTTGACACATATTTTGGAAATTTCTAAAATTCAACAACGCACTCTGGGCATATTGACTACTCTTTCATTATGTTGGGGGCTGTTTTCGCCCCATTGACTTTCAGTATAACCACAAATTTCTTTTTTTTTTAAAAGATTTATTTTTGGCCTTTTTACCTTTATTAGATAGGACAGTAATGAGACAGGATGCAAAGTTGGAGAGAGAGAGGGAGTAGGGTTGGGAAATGTCCTCAAGCCGGGATTCGAACTTGGAACACCCTGACATGCTGCTGCACCATATGTCGGCACGCTAACCACCAGGCTGTTGCACCGACATAACCACATATTTCAGATTACAAAGCTTTGGTAGCATATAATCATGCCTTCTTAATTGTTGCTGATTTTCCCAGTTGAGAAGAGGTAAGATTTGTGATTTTTACTGTTGATCATCAGTTACAGTTCAAATAAAGCTTAGCTTCTGGCTTTTATATGGAGTGTGCGTGTGAGAGAGAGAAAGAGAAAAAAAAACCTTTACACACTTATCTTGACATGTTTGAGAAAATCTAAATAATCAGCTCAGCTCTCAGAACACAGTAAGTGTATTTCTGCACACACACTATAATCTCCCATTTTTACCCCCGGGATCTCTGTATAAAAGCCAGAAACTGTTTTTGCACAGGCTTATCTAAAGGGTTAATGTTGCCAACTGATGATCACCAGTAAAAATGACACAATTGACCTTATCCCAACTGGGAAAACCAGCAACAATCAAAAAAGCATGATTAAAACTTTTTTTTTTATATATTAACAGATTTGTGTGTGTTGAGCATCAGTTAAGACAATGTTAGCAGCTGTCAGCTTTAATTGTGGGGAAAACTGGATAATTTTGAGCTTTTGTCAGCTAATTTCAGCTTCCGGGTTTAAAATGATTTTTGGGGAGGGATCAAAATCGGCGACGTAGCGCAGAACTGCAAGTGCAATGATGACGCGTCGGTTTCTCATTATTATTCAAAACGGAGTTTCCTTATCCTATGAGAAGAGCCGGCTGCTTAATTATTCATGAGAACATGACAGCACGCGCTTTCCTAAGGCAAGGCAGACGCAGACCTGCCAGACCAGTGCCAAGCTCAAGCTGTGAGACACGGACCCACAGGCACGCAGTAGCCGTTCATGAAGGCTCGTATGTGTTTGTTTTCATGATCCACGGGGTTTGTTGCATGTTTTTCCCCGCAATCCTGTCAGGGCCGATTATACAGCAAAGCTGTGTGTGTGCTGCAAGCATTTTTGTCAGGAGAGCAGCACGAAAATTGGAGAATGGCGGATGTTGTCTTGTATCAGGAGTTCATTCACATTCAGACACATCGCCGTGCTGCTGTGTTTGCCTAAATCCTCTATATTACCAGCAGGACTAATGCTTAAAATAGACAGGTCAGGAGACCTGCTGCACTGAGTCTGCTGGATACGGGGATTGAGGGAGAATCCTCATTTATAGTGTTTATGAACACACTTATCTTTATAATGATATAAACTGTGGTTATGTGTATATGAAATTACGAATAACAAATGTAGCAGGGCATTAAATCACTGTTCATTTCTTTGCATTTTAACTTTGTAAACTATAAACTCATGCGTCTCCTCACGGTTTGTCTCATTTTGTAAGCTAGCTGACATCAACAGTTATTCGCTCCCCTTCTCCCCTGCTGGCCACGCCCACTCCTGCCCGATGCTCGCGGAGCTCCACGCCCATTAATCATGCATCTTTTGAAAAAATTCTGAAATAGACATTAACCGAAAGTGGGGGGTGTCATGGCCCTTTAAATGCGGTCATGGTTTTGCAATCAAGAAACGTGCTTATAATGGAAGTCAATGGGGCAAAAACAGCCGCCAACATAACGAAAGCGTAGCCAATTTGACCGGTACACGAGGCTTAAGTATAGTTTTAAGAAATGGCTTCTTAATAATCAACATTGTGAACATAGTTTCTTTTTATTTGTATGTTTGTTGGTTTTCATGCTGTTCACACCAGATGCAGAACACGCGTCATGCGCTAGTGATTTACATGTTTAGTCAATGCAAACGCGCGAATAAACATCCTGCGGTGCGATATGCTTGAATGGCGCAGCGCGGCGTGAATTGACGCGCTTAAAGGCTGATTTATACATCTGCATCAAGCGCACGCGTATGCTACGGCGCAGCCTACACGTCGACGCATAGCCCTATGCCCAGGCCGTCGGCGTCGCTGACATGCACCTCTCAAAAAATGTAACTACACGTCGCAATGATGCTTAGCACAAGCTCTGTGATTGGTTAGCTTAGTAGCGCTGACAAGTCTGGGCGGGACTGATAGCTGCGCGAGCCCAATGGAGCAATTGTTTACAAGTGTGGAGTCCCGTGAAGGGGCTCCGGATGGAAAGTTTTGTTTTGCGTTTACCTCATAGTTAAAGTTGTCGCACGTCCACCGGTTCCTGCCTCAAAATAAGCGAGTTTGAGCCACTTGTACATTCAGGAAGTGTTCAGGAAAAGCAAAACACCAGCGAAGAAACTGGACACAGAGGAACATTTACACCTCACTGCCAAATATTGTTTCGGAAGTGTTATTACAGAACAACCGAAACAGCGCGCAGAAGTACAAAGGCACAGCTAGGTCAAGCTGATCACTTGATGCAGAAGTATAAACCAGGCTTAACGCTCGTTTTGCGCGAATCACTCGAGTTCAAAAACCTGAAATTAAGCGGACATTCGTGCCGCGTTAACCAATCAGGAGCAGCTCTTTTTTCCTGTAGCATCTGTTGTTGGTGTCCTGGGGGAAATCCTCTAGCCGACGCCGACAACAGTTCATCAAACTGGGCTTGGCTCAGTCAGAGGCACCGCTGAAAGCCTCCGTCATCCAGGTTCAGTTTCTGGAGGAGTTTATGAGCTCACAGAGCTGGATGCACCTCTGACAGTATCTAGTGGACTCAGACACGGCCCTAAACGTATCGACGCTGTTTATCATCCTTCATAAAGCTCATGAACACTGTTATTTTCTTCATAAAATCCATGTTAGCCATTTAGCAATGAAGCTAGAGTCACCGGGCAGACAAAAGCCCCGCTCATCAAGCGAATCCTCGTCTGTTCTGAAGTGAATTTGACGCGTGAATGAAGCGAGTAAACTCAAATGTTCACGCGGCAATTTACGCGCAAATAGAGCGATTTATCCGCGCGTTCTGCATCTGGTGTGAAGACAGCATTAGGGCTGTGAAATCTAATTTGGGTAGATTTACATTACATTTTTGGGCAATGTTAATTATTGCACACTGACCCTTTGTTGTAAAATAAAATGAATTAAAATTTTATTAAATTAAAATTCAAATTAAATGTTAGAGCCATGATGGATGCTGATTAAACTCAGGATATACTAGGATTATTTTTGAGTTGACCAAAACAATCAGTCCCTGTGTGTACCATAGCTAAACTGAAACTTATCTGGTTAACTGGCTAAACCGGCTCTTTGTGTGTTTGTGTTTTTATATATCAGACCTGGGGGCTGCCGTGGCAATGCTGAGTGGGGCGGGGCTTGTCCAGGGCGTGGTCAGATTCCTGCAGCTGTCACAAGACCGCTGTTTGATTGACGGGACGATCGACGGACTGAGCCCTGGGGCTCACGGTCTGCATGTGCATGAACTGGGGGATCTCACACAGGACTGCAGGAGGTACCATCAACAATACAGCAGATCATGAACACGAACATGCAGCTCAATATTATTGTGGTTGAAGGAAAGTGAAAGAAATATAACATGAAATATGTGAAGATTCCAGAAGATTAGATATTAGTCAAGTCATTCCAACATTTTTATCAAAGTCTTCACTTCAGGGCCGGTCACATGTATCCACCATGTTTGTAGTTCTAATCGATGTTTGTAGTTCTAATCGAAGTGCAATGCATGTGGGTAATACTAGCCATTAGAGATCATCACATCCAATTTGATCTGCAGTTCTTGTGTGCTCGCCAAAAATGCAGACTAGACTTCTCTTTATTACACCTGCTAAAGCTAAACTTGTTTGTCTTGCACGTCTTTTGCTAAGTAATCAGGTTTGTGTTCTGTTTATCAGTTGTGGAGATCATTTCAATCCATTCAGGAAGCAGCATGGAGCTCCACAGGACTCTGACAGGGTATACTTATTTAGCTTTCCTTTGTTTTTAGTAATGCTCTTATTTAACATTTTGAAGACACGAGATCAGTACTGTATAAAATCAATATAATATACGACTTTAACAGTTTATTCCAAACACATACCTATTAATTGAGTTTATTTGCTAATGTATAACTCCATTTTCAGCATTTCTCAGAAATATATATGTTTTTTTTTGTAAGTGTGCTCTTTAATGCTTAATGTAATACAACAAAAAACAACTAAAAACCCTTACTTCTATAAATCATATTTATTAGTAATTATACTTTTCATCTGTAAATGAATAAAAACTGAAGTACCTGATTTTGCAAATAAACTCTTATTTAAAGCAGCTCATTTATTATAGTAATATACACTCACCGGCCACTTTATTAGGTACACCTTACTAGTACCTGGTTGGATGCAAGTGTGCCGCAAGCCTGCGTTTGAGTGAAGGTCTCGGCCATTAGATCGCCCCCTGGGGGCTGGCTGCAGTACAAGTCATAAAGCCCGCCTCCTCCGTGTTACTGAAGGAGACTTGAGCCCAAATAAAAAAAATAATTACACTTGCAATAAAATGTCCCGAAAGATGGTTCTGGTGGATTAAGGCACTGATTATTGTGCTGAAATAGGTGCAGATCTTCATTTTTGTAAACAGTTTGTTTTTAGCAGTAATTTAACGCTGGGCGTGTCATCGTGATTGACAGTTGTGATTGACAGTTTCTCAAAGCAGCGCGTCTGAGCTTCGGCAGGAGACTGAAGTGTTATTATTCGATTTCTGTGTTATTTTACCATGACAACATGAGTTCAGCAGTAAACTACAGTTTCTGACATACATGATCCTGGTGGAACACTGTTTATTCGCTAAGGTCAGGGCTTTTTTCGGGCTTTATTAGTTTGCTGATACACGCCTAACCACCCAGATAGCAAAACACACTCGGGCCAGTTCCAGCTAGATTCTTGCCTGCCGGAGACTTACCCCTCAGAGCTCAGACTGACTACCTCTGCTGGACCTACTCCGGATGCCTGGACTCACTGCCCGATTCCAGCCCGAGTCAATCGAGCCAGATGCGGCGGCCGAGCGAGCCGGCGCTGCCGCATGCGAGCCGGAATCAGCCCGCGACGCCGCGAGTAGGTTATGCGCTGCAGTCCGGAGCTGGCGCGATTGAATATATAAAACCCTCATATTTGTTAACGTTATTACATCCATTTGTGTTGATATGACAGCAAACGCATGCTGAGAAGTTCGGGGGGCGTGGTTGATTTTACATAAAGCGTTTGGTTGGAAGCTCGACTCCGCTCATTTTCGCGGCTCCTCCTCTGGCTCCATCAGACAGTCCTTCTGCGCATGTCAAGGCTCCAATTTCAGCAGTCTTTTGCGACAGTTTGTGCAGGTCAAGCAGGCGTTTTGCCCTCAAGGCGTTCAGTGGGAAAAGGGGCTGTCGCGTCGTCCATATTTTTTACAGTCATTGGTTGGATGCCTTCAGAACTGCCTTAATCCTTCGTGGCATAGATTTAACAAGCTACTGGAAATATTCCTCAGATTGACATGATAGCATCACACAGTTGCTGCAGATTTGTCGGCTGCACATACATGATGCGAATCTCCCATTCCACCACATGCCAATTGTGGTCTATTGGATTGAGATCTGGTGACTGTGGAGGCCATTTGAGTACAGTGAACTCATTGTCATGTTCAAGAAACCAGTCTGAGATGATTCACGCTTTATGACATGGTGCGTTATCCTGCTTGAAGTAGCCATCAGAAGATGAGTACACTGTGGTCATTAAAGGATGAACATGGTCAGCAACAATATTCAGGTAGGCTGTGGCGTTGACACGATGCTCAATTAGTACTAATGGACCCAAAGTGTGCCAAAAATCTGACTCTACCGTCCGAATGTGGCAGCAGAAATGGAGACTCATCAGAGCAGGCAACGTTTCTCCAATCTATTGTCCAGTTTTGGTGAGTCTGTGTGAATTGTAGCCTCAGTTTCCTGTTCTTAGCTGACAGGACTGGCACCTGTTGTGGTCTTCTGCTGCTGAAGCCCATCCTTCTCAACGTCGGACGTGTTCAGAGATGCTCTTTTGCAGACCTCAATTGTAACAAGTGCTTATTTGAGGTATTGTTGCCTTTCTGTCAGCTGGAGCCAGTCTGGCCATTCTCCTCTGACCTTTGGAATCAACAAGGCCCACAGAACAACAACCATGCCATGATCAAAGTCACTGTAATCCCCTTTCTTCTCCATTCTGAAGCTTGATTTGAACTGCAGCATGGTCGTCTTGACCATGTCTACATGCCTAAATGCATTGAGTTGCTGCCATGTTAACGAGCAGTTGGACAGGTGTACCTAATAAAGTGGCCAGAGAGTGTATATAAAAAATATTATTTACTAGTCAAGCTTATATTCATACTATTTTATTTATGTACTATTTTTTGTTTTTTTAGCTACTTTCTAGCCTTTTCTCCTTTACATTGCTCTGCTATATGCTTTATATATTACTGTTTTTATCCACTTTCCATTGATTGATATTTGCAAAAAAAACTATTTATTTGAATGATTTGCATTAATAGTAATTATTACTGTTTATTGATTTGTTGCATTGATTGTAATTTCATTACTGCTGATTGATTTGATTGATTGATATTGACTATTTTTTATTGATGTACATTTGCATTAATGATGCTAATAATAATTATAATTTTGCATTACTATTGATTGATTGTATTTGCATTGCTGTTGATTAATTTATATTTGCATTACCATTAATTAACTGCTTGGTAATGGCATTACTATTGATTGTTTGGTTGATTGATTGATTGGTATTTGCATTACATTTGTATGGTTTATTAACTGCATTTGCATTCCTATTGATCAATTTATTGATTGGTATTGCCATTACATTCGATTGATTGATTGATTGATTGGTATTTCTGTTAATGTGGATTGATTGACTGATGAACAGTAGTAGATGTGTTTCTCTGGGCTCTCCAGCATGTTGGGGATCTGGGAAACATCAGCGCTGGTCCAGACGGCAGAGCTTCATTCAGACTGGAGGACTCTCAGATCAAGGTAAATCCAGTTCTTCAGCGTGTGTTTCTAAACCCTGCGGCCGACAGTTCTGCGCAATAATCCAAAGCCTCCGTTATTATGGTAATTACACCTTTGACTCACAACTCTTACATGGCTACACCCAAAGACTCTTAGTTGAAGTCAAGTTCGTTCACTTGGAAACAATGTTTGCAACACCTCCAGTGCAGTTTATCCTAATATATGTTATATATACAGTACTGTGCAAAGGCGACACGGTGGCTCAGTGGATAGCACTGTCGCCTCACAGCAAGAAGGTTGCTGGTTTGAGTCGTGTTTAATGTGTTTTTTTTAATGTGTGTTTAATGTGGTTTCCCTTGTATTTTTTTCTAATTGTCCTGACATTTTCTGACATAATGTGCTGCTGTGTAATATCAGTCTTCCTTTTAACACTTTCCAAAGTTCTTCTTTAGGTTTAGAGTGTCTTATCTTTGTTTGTGCAGGTGATCTTATACAGCCTCTATAATATTCAGGTCTGGACTCTGTGGAGGCCATTTCATGACTGACTGTTTCATCAGCTGATTTCATTTTTCCAAATAGGATTTCACTGCAATAAGCAGATCATTATCATGCTGAAAATGTAAACCATTACCACTGAAGTCCTTTCTGGAATGAATGGCTTAATGGATTCAATTCTGTCTGTACTTTTCAAAATTCACAATTCCATCAACCCTAAACGCTAACAGTGCTAGTAGAAATGCAGCTCAAACCAGGACTAACAGTCTCTCTCCAACATTGTCTTTCACATGTCTTAAACAATTAAACCCAAAATAATAAAACTCAAACCTAACCTAACTGCTATCCTAACAAATCATGCATCAGCTGAACGATCATTTATTAAACCTTCATAAATCTCAGTAAAACAAAAAGACAAAACATGTACTCTTATGACTGGTTTTGTGTTAAGGGTCACACATAATAATTATAACATCAGTAAAACAACAGATTTAATGTTGGCCTAAAACTTTTGCACAGTAATGTACATATAAAATACATCATGGGCTCTATTTTAACAATCTAGGTGCAAAGTCTAAAGCAGGGGTTCTCAACTGGTTTGGCCATGGGACCCACATTTTCACATGGTCATTAAGCCGCGACCCAAATTTTTAGGAATTATTATATAATTTTAGAAATTATAATTAATTTGTATTTAATTGTTAACATACACAACTAGTGACAGATAAATTATAAAAAAAACACCAAGACTTACAAATACAATATTGTACTGCTGTCATTTAAGAAAATGTATCAAATTATAGAAATATTACAGAGTAAAAATGTCAAATACTGTAAACAGTGGTTGGGGTAAGGAAAAGTTAAGTTACCATTAACTAAACTGAACTGTTAATAAAACATTAAGACTGCTCTGGTTAAACTGCACAGAAACCAGCAAACTGAAGTAAAATTATTAAAATAATCATAACCATTTTATAATAATCAGCAGTTATTTGCTGTTCTGCTTTTGTGTGGGCTTTCTTGGTCTTTGCTACACGGTGAGCACAGTAAGATGTACTTGTACTTGTTTTGAACATGAAGATGTTCAGCACTTTTGTGATGCCCTCAGCTTTTGGAGTCATCTTGGAAAATAGTCCACAGGTTTTTCCTTGCAACTGGGATGTTTGGTTTCTAAATAATTTAGGTTTCATGCTCTCTTGTGAAAGCACCTCATTACATACTCCGCGACCCACTGAAAATGTTCCGACCCACCAGTTGAGAAACACTGGTCTAAAGCGCATGGCGTAGAAGCATGAAGGCCGTGTCTGAATCTACTTTTGCTATTTTAAGAATGGAAGAACACGCTCTGCACCGCGGCACAAGGTCTAACAGGGTTGTGCTTATTCTCTTAATGAGTTATGGGTGTGTTTTGAGCACCCATAACTCATCCATAACGTTCATTTGCACGTCAGATTCACTGAGCAATAGACACGAATTCGCGTCATAGGCTTCTGTCTGCCAGGTGACTGTAGCTTCGTTGCTAAATGGCTAACTAGATTTTATTGAGAGAATAGCTGTGTTTATGTGCTTTATGAAGGCTTTATCAATTTATTTAGAGTCATGTCTGAGTCCAGTAGATCCTTTCAGATGTGCATTCAACTCTGTAAGTTCATAAACACCTTCAGAAACTTAATCTGGATAATGGAAGCTTTCAGCGGTGCTTCTGACTTAGCCGAGCCCAGTTTGATCAACTGTTATCCAGTGTCGGCTGGAGGATTTCCCCCCAGGACAACAACAACAGGCGCTACATCATAAGCGTGCCCCTACAAGAGAGTAAAGTCCAGATTTTCGAACTTGAGTGATTTGCGTGGCAATCGTGCAAAATGCTCAACTCGCGCCACCTCATTTTCGCGGATCGCGCTGCAAGATGTCTATTCGCATCTTTGCATTGACTTAACATGTAAATCACTCGTGATTGACACTTTTTCCGCGTCTGGTGTAAACGCAGCATTAGAGTCAGCTATTTACATGGCGGTCTGAACGCTTTACTAGTGATAAAACAGCATCTGCAGTGCAGGGATAAAGAACGAGCGTCCTCCATTCAGCCTCTTTACTTTTACTCTTTATTTTACTCCTTTACTTTCGTGGAGTAAGAAAATGATGGAAACCGACTCCACTGAAGACATCCGTCAGCCTATATATTTAATTTTGTTTAAGCGCAAAGATTTGTTTGAAAACTATTTCAAAATTCAGTTCTAATTTCCAGCAATTGAATAAATCAGCAAAAATAACAAAGTGTGTTAAAAAACCAAACACACATCCTGTTCTTATGCCCCATATGGGGATGCAGACGTCTTCAAAATCCGACAGCAGGACAAATCAAAACCTGTTTTTATTAAAACAAATATAAATATGCATATAATAAATAATACAGCTGATAATAATAATATTATACGAAAACAATTTGTCTTGAATAAACTTAAAAAGCCCCCCGAGGTGAGGCATAGGAGGCCAGTGGTTTTTATATTTATGTAGAAAATAATAATTTTTGTAACATTTTAATCCTTTATTTATTTTATATGTAAAGATATGTGTGTATTGCTGTACATCCTGTGTGTATTAGGCAATGAGTAAGTGTTTGGACCTGCATAGCTGCATAACTAACAAGCTCTGCACTGGACTTTAGAGCAGATTTTAGTTGGTCAATGGCGCAGTCTATTTCAGTTCCTCAAAATAGCCACTTGCCAACAATGCGCCTTAACACCTCCTTAATAGACCAGCACACCCATGAGTTACTCTTTATTTTACTCCTTTACTTTCGTGGAGTAAGAAAATGATGGAAACCGACTCCACTGAAGACATCCGTCAGCCTATATATTTAATTTTGTTTAAGTGCAAAGATTTGTTTAAAAACTATTTCAAAATTCAGTTCTAATTTCCAGCAATTGAATAAATCAGCAAAAATAACAAAGTGTGTTAAAAAACCAAACACACATCCTGTTCTTATGCCCCATATGGTGATGCAGACGTCTTCAAAATCCGACAGGAGGACAAATCAAAACCTGTTTTTATTAAAACAAATATAAATATGCATATAATAAATAATACAGCTGATAATAATAATATTATACGAAAACAATTTGTAATGAATAAACTTAAAAAGCCCCCCGAGGTGAGGCATGGAGGCCAGTGGTTTTTATATTTATGTAGAAAATAATAATTTTTGTAACATTTTAATCCTTTATTTAACTTATATGTAAAGATATGTGTGTATTGCTGTACATCCTGTGTGTATTAAGCAATGAGTAAGTGTTTGGACCTGCATAGCTGCATAACTAACAAGCTCTGCACTGGACTTTAGAGCAGCTTTTAGTTGGTCAATGGCGCAGTCTATTTCAGTTCCTCAAAATAGCCACTTGCCAACAATGCGCCTTAACACCTCCTTAATAGACCAGCACACCCATGAGTTCACAAAGTAGCAGAAATGGATTTGCTATTTGAACAACGTGGTGCAAAATGTGAAAATTAGGGTTGCACTGGTCTGAAAATAGCAACAAATCGCGCCAAACACGTCTTGCGCCTTATTGCACCGGGTGTATGATAGGGCCCAGTATCTGCAAACATATATTGGTAATTTAATGATTTAGAAGAGTCAGAAATGTACAGCTCTTTCCTCTAATCTGATGTGTTTTTATGGTGGTTTATCATTAATTTGTCCTGTTTGTCAGGTATGGGATGTGATCGGACGCTCTCTGGTGGTGGATTCAGGAGAGGATGATCTGGGTCGAGGGAATCACCCGCTGTCCAAAACCACTGGAAACTCCGGAGAAAGGTCAGGGTTTCGTGACCCTTTAAAGAGAAGTTTAGATTAGAACTAAATCTCACTATTAACTTTAGTGGCTCCTAATAAAATATTAGCTGTTTGTTAGATGTTATAAAGCACATATTCTTCAGTATCTTATTCTATATTCCTAATCTAATCTGCAGAATTCCGCAGATTTCTAGCCCATTATTAATTCTGTTTATTTACTTGAGTAAATGTGTAAATCTAAATCTATTCAGGTTTTATTCAGTAATTTATTACTTTTTATTTCATATATTAAGGTTTTAATTATGATACTCCCAAAATAATTCTGCAGAAATCCGCAGATTTTTACCAAAATTCTCCGCAGAAATAGCAAAAAAAAACTTCCGCAGATTTCGTCTGGCCCTGCCCATACCTAAATCTTAATAACTAAGAACAAGCCGCTTATTAGGGTTGGTTAAAAGCCAGAGTTAATGGTTTACTAATAGCGAGAACTGAACCTTAAAATAAAACCAAAAATGATGTTAATATTTATGTTATTTTATATCTTTATGTTGTGTAGTCTAATTTGGAGAATGAAAAAAAAGCATTCCTCCTAGAGCAGGGATGTCAAACTCAGTTCCTGGAGGGCTGCAGCTCTGCACAGTTCCAACCCTGCTCCAACACGCTTACCTGTAGGTTTCAAACAAGCCTGAAGGACTCAATTAGTTTGATCTGGTGTGTTTAATTAAGGTTGGAAATAAACTGTGCAGAGCTGCGGCACTCCAGGAATTGAGTTTGACATCCCTGTCCACGAGTGTGTGTGTCTGTGTGTGTGTGTGTGTGTGAAGTTTCAGCTCAAAATACCACACAAATAATGTTGTATAACTTTTTAAAACTAACCCTTTTAGGCTTTGATCCTGTCGCTTTAAATTTATATGATATTGAGCTCTTTTCACTAGAGGGCGGAGCTTCAAACACCCGTGTGTCAGCATAGTGAAAGATTTAAAACTCTAATGGCAGACGGCTAATGATATGCTAATGAGGGAGAGATAGTCACTAGTGGGTGGAGCTTTCTCCGTCTGATTTCATGTACAAAGGGAGAATGTCAATCAAAGTGTTTCTGTATGTTTATGTGTGCGTGTCTGTGAGTGTGTGTGTTTCTCAGGCCCCGTTTACACTTGTGCATTTTAGTTTTAAAACGGCGTTTTAGATCAAAAACGATCTGTGTCCACACTAGCGTTTCACCCAGCGTTTCTGAACATATCTCCGTCCACACTACGCCACCAAAACCGTATATCACGTGACCATACGCACACTCTGGGCATGTAAGTTCTAGTATAAACAGGAAGCATGTGTCTCGCTCGGCATTTGGTTATTGTTAGTTAAACAACGGTTGAACAATGAACGCAATGGCAAACAAAGCAAGAGAGGTATTTTTGTGGACAGACGAGGTCGAGTTGTTACTAAACGTAACAAATGAATAACTGCGCAATGGCGCCTAAAACAGACAATAGTGCAAAGAACGCTCCCATTTCTGTGCCCGTGTTGTTGTTTACAGAACTGTCTTCCGGTAGCGTTGAAGCCATGTGTTATAGTCATGTGATAGAGACTTGACGAATAAGGGAAGGATACGCAATGACACAAAAGCCCCATTCAGGTAGCGAATTTCAGCAGCCCCACCTCCGTTTTCAAATGTCTCCGTTTTCCCCCATCCACACTGAGACGGAGCAGCAGCGTTTCAGAATGAAAACGGCCTCTTCAGCGTTTCCAAAACGCTCCGTTTTCGGCGCTCGAAGACTCTGGCGTAGTGTGGACGGATGGCGTAACCGTAGCAAAACTTATGCGTTTTTTTTAAACTAAAACACATTAGTGTAAACGGGGCCTCAGACTGGTGTGTGGCATCATTAATGCGCGTGTGTGTGTGCGTTTCACAGACTAGCATGTGGGATCATCGCTCGCTCCGCCGGGCTCTTTCAGAACCCCAAGCAGATCTGTGCCTGCGACGGAGTGACGCTGTGGGAGGAGAGAGACCGTCCCATCGCCGGCAGAGGACGCAGAGTCGAAACACACACCTCTCATCTGTGACCATTGCACACACACACGCGACCAGAAGGAGATTATTCCTGACCAATGAGAGCCTGAGCCAGTGTCTGAGGTGTGCACGCCCCCGACACACACACGACACCACATGCTGATTATCATATATCTAGATCTCTATCAAACATCACAGTGATTGTGTTTTAGTCTGTTTGATTGTTCGTCCTGCTGCTGAAGCACAGTTTCAATGTAGGAAAAAGTAAACGGGTAATACTTTATATGTAGGCTCATACATGCTTGTCATTTGATAACATTTTTGATTTGAAATCTCACTCGCTTTACAATGAGGGTTGGACATAAACTATGAATGAACGATACTTCTCATTGTTCATTAATCATACTTCAGCATTTATTATTAATGCATTTTTAAAATATAAAGTTTTGTGTTAGTTTGTGTGTGTGTGTGTGTGAGTGTGTGTATGCAAATGTGTGTATTAATGCATTATTGCATTATTATTACAGAATTGAATAACTCATAATAATATTTTATGTTTCTCGTTAGTCTCATGATAACAGAAATTAAATATGAAAACAGCACTTCTGGAGGAACTATGACGTCACTTTGTTGGTTAATCGGCTGCTAGCATAAAACTGGTTCCCTTGATAAAATCCCTATTGGGTTTTCCCATAGGCTTTACGAAGATTGCAAATAATAAGCTCTGTGTTCAAACACTGTTCATTACACTTACACGTTTTGTCCAGCCGGATAATCCTCACCAAGTGGCAACCTCCCACTCTCCCTCAGAAAGCCAATACGGAAGTAACTGAAACTGCAATTCATCCGAAATTCCGCTAGTCCTGGCCGCTCCTGGCTCCAAAAATAGAGCAAATTTCAATTTTGTCCAGCCGGACAAAATAGAGCAAATTTCAATTGAGCCCACTGTTAGAAAGGCCAACTTTACAGCAGAAAAAAGGTGTTTACAGCCTGGTACAAAAAAATTTTTTGTTAATACAGCTAATATTACCCTTCATGACAACTGTGAGGGGGGTGAATTTTTTTTATAGCTCATCCGTTTCCTTTATATTAAGTTTGCATAATTAAGGGCGTGGCCACTTGAGTGACAGCTAGGTCTCGTTGGTCGCCGTCATGTCACCTCAGCTGAATCCTGCAGATTAGCCACTGAACTCGGCATATTTATCGTATTTCTGTGTTGTTTTATGTGGCTTTACACAGTCAACTGCCTTTTGGACTTGTTTCCTACAATTATTAGATGGCATGTCATGCGGAGTGCACTTAATTGTGCTCACAAACCATTCACTTGGCCTCCATTTCCCATGAGAGTAAAGTTATTTACTTGTATACCATCTCTATACATGTATTTGTTTTATTTAAGATCATTTATCGTTTATATTTATATTTAGAGCTGTAATGCACTTCATAATCTGACAAATTGACTTCGTCGTCTGAAGCGTTGTCATACAGTGTTATGCTGGATTTCATCAATAGTCTTACATTAACTAACACAGACTATATCTGAAGTGTTTGAAAGTAATTCGCTTTTTCCTCCTGTTGAAAAACGGATTAAGAACAATGTTTAGTGGCTCTGTGTATTACAGCAGTGTTTTTACAAGACTAAACTCTTTATTGATATAGTATACAACCAAGCACAAGTGCTCAGAATACAAACGAGTCGCAGGTGATAAAGTATTAAGCGTTCTCCCAAAGTAAAGTGTGTCTGAACCAGGTCCAAGCAAAATGCAGCATCTGTCTGTAGTTCCGCTCACTCTCCGCCTCTTTGCCCTTGTTTGGTATCCCGCCGTGGGTGTGATGACACGCGAACAAAATGGCGACGGTTGGCCGCGCCTACTTGTGGCTTCTTTTGCGCTCTTTAGAAACCTATGGGTGACGTCACGGATACTACGTCTATATATTTTACAGTCTATGATCCTCACACGAAAATACAACTTTGAGCACTTTTGGATCCTAAATGCAAAGGCAAAACCTGAGAAGCTAACATTAGGCTATAAACGGACTACAGTGCCTTCAGAGTGCTCGCCTGTGACGTCAGCACCACCCTGCTACAGACAACTTTACTAACTTAGTTTTAAAAATATGGTCCATGACAAAGAGTTAATCTCTCTCTTTATTATATTATAATAACTATATATTATAAACACACTATATTTTATAAAATATATATTAAAAGCACATCTGTATAGACCTACGTGCCTTTTTACGAGGGAAATACATTTGCTTTGCTTTACGGTTGTTGTAAAAGTTTTAAAACTGTGTGTATGAATGTGCCTACATAGTATTTTCATCAGACATATTTAAATGAGTGTATCACTCAAATGAGGCGTGAGGGACAAGTCTATAGGGGAATTGCCAACTTGCGTCATTTGGTTTTAACCGCGTATATCGGATGCAAAAAGAGACCGGTTGCAATATCAAGCATGTCATGTTGTGCGGTAGGAAGCTAAATTCAAAATATACTGTACACCACACTGCTTTTAATGCCAACCGCAGACGTCTTTGGCTTATGCTGATTTCACACCAGACGCGGAAGAAGCATGTTAAGTCAATGGAAAGACGTGAATAGACATCCTGCAGCGCAATACGCGCAAATGAGACTGTGCGATTGGCATGATTCGTGCAAATTAAGCAGCGCAAGTTGAGCGTTTTGCCTGATTGACTGGCTTAACGTGCATTTCGCGCAAATCGATCAAGTTCGAAAATCTGAACTTTCGCACTGCGTTATCCAATCAGGAGCTTTCTCTTGTAGTGACATGACGTAACGCCTGTTGTAACGCTGACACTGGACAACAGTTGATCAAACTGGGCTCGGCTCAGTCGGATGCACCGCTGAAAGCTTCCATTATCCAGATTAAGTTTCTGAAGGTGTTTATGAGCTCACAGAGCTGGGTGCACCTCTGAAAGGATCCTTTGCACTCAGACATGACTCCAAATGAATCAACGCTGTTTGGACGATTTATTCGCGCATTCCGCGTCTGGTGTGAACACAGCATAACAGTCATCATAAGAGCTTAATGGAGTGAGGACCTAATTAAAAATGCTGGACTCTGCAGTTCTCATGTCATATCAGGTCAGTTCACGCTATGCTGAATCATACACATTACTCGTTGTTGATTGCAGCAAGGATTTCAGCAAAAACAGTTAAATATGGTGAATTAAACTGCGGACACTGAATGCTTATGAAATGTAAAAATGTAAGTCCACATACCCTGCCGTACAGGTGCAGTTCGCTGTCAGAATGCAGTAGTTTTGCTTGCTGGTGATTAATTACCCAGGCCTTGTATAGCTCCGTCTTCGTTTCTTTGGATAGGCAGAATCTCGGTTTTTAGCTCTACATAGTGTTGAATCTGGTAATCTTGGAGCATTATTTCTTGCATATGACGACACAGAACAGCATTGTTGGCATCCAAAGACTTGTAGACCTTTAACTTCTCTGATGTAAAATCAATTGGAGCTTCAATGAGATGTGTGTGTGTATATATATATATATATATATATATATATATATATATATAAAGATAGATAGATAGATAGATAGATAGATAGATAGATAGATAGATAGATAGATAGATAGATAGATAGATAGATAGATAGATAGATAGATAGATAGATAGATAGATAGATAGATAGATAGATAGATATCTTCAGAGAGTTGTATATTTTAAGCTTGATGCTTGGTCATTTCGTCTTATCCAATATCCATTGGGAGGATTCTATCGCAAATGGACCTGTTGAACGCCGCTCACTTTAACGTTAATTTTGTAGAATAACTGTGCTGATCACTGGGTGATGAGCTGTTATAATACGCTGAAAGCATCATGTAAATAATATATATAATATGTAATCGATAGACCTTATCTTTTTAATACAACAACAAACTCTGTACCACATCGGATGTCATTCCTTCGCTGTAAATGCTAGAGCTCCCATTTTTTTCTGCAAAATCATTGCTGTGATCAAAAACGAGTAACGAGTATGATTCAGCATAGCGTGAACTTACCTGTTATGAAATTTAAACTGCACAGTTCAGCGTTTTTATTTAGGTCCTTCCTTCATTCAGCTCTTAAGATGGCTGGTAGCCAAAAATGTCTGCAGTTGGCATTAAAGCAGTGCGGTGCACGGTAACATTTAGGTTTTCTATTTTTGGACTTTGGCATCCTACCACACAACACAACATGTTTGCTATTGCAACCAGTCTCGATTTGCAACCGCTATGCACGGTTAAACCCGTGGAACATCGTGTGTGACGTAGGTTGGTAATTCCTCCATAATCTCTCCGACACCACCTGTAGTCCCATTTAGCAACCTGATAACAACCGTCTTTTTAAAGAAGCATAACCGATTTATTAAATCAAGTGTGTGCTGTAACTGATGGGTTTCATCTTGTTGAATAAAACGTGACAGTATCTTAAGTTTGTGTTAACCATGAACCTTATTTAAGCGATTTAATTGAAATTCTATTGACAAAACCCATTAACTTTTGTACGAGGAAACCGGAACTGCTAAAATGCTAACTCGCTTCTGGGTTTTCGCACACAAATTGACGTCATCGTTCCTCCACTCCATATAAATATGAATTGCCTTAAGTAAATAACACATTGAACTGTTTTCATCAACCCGGGCTCATTGTGGAAACGTAGCCCCGCGGACGTTTCTGCGGACCGCGAGATATGTCCCGGGAGGTACGTATTCGAGCGGTTTTTGTTTTCGCGGATCCGCGAGAGGCCGCTGTGCACGCTTTTTCGCGTCTCGGGCGCCTCTCAGGAGCTCGTGCCGTTCGCGCCCGCGCTGTTCTCGCGCGAAAAGCCGCCGGATCGGCCGACCCGGCTGCCCTCCTCTTCCTCCTCCTCCTTTCCTAAACCCGAGTGACGGTTTGCAAAAGCCGTCCAGAAAAACAAAAAAAAACAAAACAAAAGCCCTCGTCTTCAACCGCGTTTTTGGATCCCGCCGCGTTCTCGCCCTTATTTTTCGGATTCTCTTTTTCATCTTACCTGATTTCTGTACCCGCTGTTCCCCGGACTCGATCCCGGTCGTTGTCCCCGCTGCCGGCTCCTCCTCCTCCTCCGGGCCTCCGCTCCGCCGACCTAACGCTGTGAGCTAAGCAGACGAACTGGTTGCATCGGGAAAGCCCTCCACTCGGAGGCGAGCTGTCGGCCGGCGAACGCGAAGAGGAGGAGCGGAGCGGCGCCACACCGCCCCGCAGCGTTTGCTCGAAAAAAACTAAACGCGGCCGTACGTACCTCCGGCCACGTAAATCACGGTCTCCTGAAACATCCGTGGGGCTACGTTTCCAAAATGAGCTTGGGTTGGTTTTCATTTAAACAAACAACAGTGGTGTTATGTAAACAAACTTTAATCTAAAGGGAAGTCTATGATGAAGTCTTAATTGAAGTCTATGATGAACTCCAATCAATCTGAATTTCCCACAAACGCTGGGAAGCGCTGATATAAAGTGTCTTGCTTTAAACATGAAAGTAATTTAGTTTTTTTAATGATTTATTTTTTCATGAATGTTGTACGGGTAACTAAAACTGTTCTAATAAACATTAGTCATTTCATAATGTTTGTCTGTGTTAAATCACCTTTTTTTAAGTAAACATGCATAGAAAACCTATTAAATGCAAGAAACTAAGATTTAACAACATGTTAACAGTGGGAAATGCCTATGCACACTCTTTCATACAACATGAGCTAGCAAAATAAACATTGTGAATTTAGGTTTTCATTGTACACTGTAAAACAAATTTGACTCAACTCGTAACTGTAAGGCAACTTGCTGCAGAGCTTTGTTGAGTTGACTCAGTTTTCAACCCAAGTACAGCACTTCACTTGATATAAGTTGAGCAAACTCAAAAATGTCCTGAAGCTGGTTGCTTTATAATTTAAGTTGTCAACTTTTTTACAGTGTACTTTAAGATTACTTGTAACCATTCTTTTTAAATGTATTTATTATTCCTAGCAAGTACTAGTAGACTCTTTAGTATGGGCGTGAGATGTATATGTTAGTATTAAGTTTGTACATATTTCATAACTTATATTTCCTTCAAACGCAGAAGCAGATGGTCAGACTTTGATTGAAGATGACCAAAACAAACTTTTTTTTTGTGGATTAATTTGCATGGATTAATTATTTACCTTTAGAATAGCCATGTGAGCTAGCAAAATGTACATTGTGAATACTCAATGTATATGTATAATGTAATGTATGTATAATGTAATAATATTATCTAAATGTATAATAGTATACTCTTTAATTTATTTACTATTCGTAGCATGTACTGTACTATACGTGATCAATTTTTATTAATTCACCTTAAAAACACAGTAGGAGTAAGACTAGACTCTGCAGTATGGGTGTGAGATGTGAATGTTAGTACTAAGTTTGTACATATTTCATAATTAATATTTCCTTCAGACACTGAAGCAGATGCTCAGACTTTGATTGAAGATGACCAAAACAAACACATTTGTGTGTGTGTGTGGATTAATTTGCACTAATTTCACTTCAAGAATAACAATATTTGTGAGATAGCAAAATAAACAGTGTATTTTGATTTTCATTGTACTTTAAGGCTACTTTTAAGTATGCTCTTTAATTTATTTATTATTCTTAACAAGTACTGTACAATAACAAGGTTTCAGCATGTTAAATTAAGACATTTTTAAGACCATTATGAATGAAATATTAGACCCATAAAGGGTTAAGGCTAAGGAATTTTTCAAATGGCACAGATGGAAAAAAGTTTTATTTGCCCAATCAAAAAAATACATATAATTTAATACATTTAATAATATAATAATAATAAAAATATAAATATTTTAGATTTTATTTCTTAGCTAAATATTTTAAATACTATATAAAAACAAGCAAGCCCTACTTTTATCTATACACTTTTTTCCAACAAAAACTTTCTTTAAAATAATAATAATCAAAAAACGAACAAATCTTTTAAAGGTTTTCAAAACTATAATAAACTAAATCTAAGCACAGCAATCTGAGGTCGGTGTCCTCACCAGTAAATACATAAACTTTTAAACAAATGTTATTGTAAGGAAAATAATGAAACCATTATTATAAATAAAGTTAAAAATGACCTTTTTAAATAAAAAGTTTAAAGCTTTGAGATGGATTGTTGGTGATTGTATGCGTTTTGGCCAGATTTGCAATACATAAACAAAGGAAAATTAAGACCTGGGGTCCGTTCTTCGTACGTGGATTACTCAATTAGCTGGATTTGGATGTTGACGATTTGACACGATCCAGGATCGTTTCGTTCTTCAAAGCTGATCTGAGAGTTGTCGTCATAGCAACAGTTCTGCTAGGTCAAACCTGATCGGGAGCAGGTTCAATTCATATAAACAGGATTAGATCGGCTCAGTTCAAGCAAAAATAATACAGAAAGTATGTTCTGAATTCTGATATTTTCTTACAGTAGTAGTTATATACATTTGGGAAAATGGTACATATTTTTTAACTATATATATATATAAAGTTATAGTCATAAAATAAATAAAGTTATACATATTAATAAAACGTATGCAATCTGCACCCTTGAAATGAAAGTATAAAGACTGCCACCTGGTGGTGCAAAGAGAAAACTTATTGATATGAACTTTTTAGATTGCTTTAGTAGAAATTGTGTATAATAGAAATGCACAATATGTGACTTTTTTTAAAAGCAATAATACATTTATGCAGTCATGAACATGTTTTGATAGTTAATATGTCGGTGATTTGATGCTTCACAAAAGTTGCAGACGCCTTTACCAATATCAAAACGCTTTTGTAAACAACCAGTTATTCTTTACACCGATTAAAAAAACAGCTACTATAATAAAGAAAATATTTTCTAAATGTAAAACTAAATACATTAATTTGCATTGAAATACATGATGAATTGACACATGAAAGTGTAAAGCCTGCAGCTCACAACAAATGTGGAAGGTTATCGCGTGTCATATTTAACAAACCGTTTACTGCTAATTTGATGTAATTTTGCTCAAATGGATAATTGAATATTAATCAGATGATGTCATTACGCTGCTGTGCTGTCAGCCAATCGTTGCATTGCTGATCATGATTTCGAGGATCGATAGATCTGTCCTTCACAACACACGCAGCGATCTCAGATCAGTTCATCCAGACATTCTAATCTGATTCGCGAACTTGTTTGAAGATCCAAATAAGCGAGAGATCAGTTATCAAGATTAACAGATCCAGGATCTGTCAAATAATATTAGATCATTTAAGCGAGGTACGAAGAACGGACCCCTGTTTAAAAAAAGATTTAAGACCTACAACACAATATTTCAGTAAATGTAAGACTTTTTAAGGCCTAAAATTTGGATTTTGAGATTTAAGACTTTTGAAGACCCTGCAGAAATCCTGAATAAGTTAACCATTTGTAAAGATTTACCTTGAAAACACAGTAGAGGTAAGACTAGACTCTTCAGTATTGCTGTGAGATGTATGTTTGTACTAAATTTTTACATATTTCATTAATAAAAACAAAAACAAAAGCAGATGGTCAGATTCGATTGAATTAAATTATTTTTGGTGTATTAATTTGCACTGATGAATTTTTCAAATTAAGAATAACAATGTAAGCTAGCTAAAACAATTGTGGATTTTGATTTTCGTTGTACTTTTAAGATGCCTTGTAAGTAATTTATTCATAATTTTTTACCAAGTGCTGTACTATAAGTGAACAATTTTTTAATAATTTACCTTAAAAACACAGCAGACGTATTAGACTAGACTCGGGGTGTTAGATGTTGCCATATGTTTTGTACTTTGTACATATTTCAGAATTAATCTTTTCTCCAGAAGCAGATGCTCAGACTTTGATTGAAGATGACCAAAACAAACACATCTTTGTGTGTGTGGATTAATTTGCACTAATTAATTATTCACCATAAGAAAAACAATGTGACATAGCAAGATAAACATTGGGAATTTAGATTTTCATTGTACTTTAAGACGCCTTGTAAGCATACTCTTTAATGTATTTATTATTTTAAGCAAGTACTGTACTATGAGTGATCAATTTTAATCATTTAATTTTAAAACACAGTAGACTCTCCAGTATGGGTGTGAGATGTATATGTCTGTACTAGTTTGTACATATTTCATGATTAATATTTCCTCCAAACGCAGAAGCAGATGGTCAAACTTTGATTGAAGATGACCAAAGCAAATTAAATAAATAAATAAATAAAATGTGTGGATAATTTTGCACTGATTAATTGTTCACCTTAAAAATAACAATGTGGCATAGAAAAAAATTCATTGTAAATTTTGATTTTTATTGTACTTTAAGACTCCTTGTAAGTATAGTTTTTAAAATGTATTTATTATGTTTGACCAAGTGCTGTACTATAAGTGAACTTCTTTTTATAACCTTAAAAACACAGTAGAAGTAAGACTAAACTCTTCAGTATGGGTGTAAGGTGTAAATGTTTACACTACGTTTGTACATATTTCATCATTTTAAAAAAAGAGACCACCACTGCAAAAGCAGATGGTCAAATTTTGATTGAATCTCACCAAAACAAACTATTTTTGTGGATTAATTTGCTTGAATGAGTTATTCACTTTAAGAATAACAATATTTGTGAGCTATAACAAAATTGTGTACTTTGATTTAAATTTGTACTGTAAGATTCCTTGCATATATATACTCTTTAATGTTTTTATATCTTTAACCAAGTACTTTATGTAGTTAACAATCCTTAATATTTTACCTTAAAAACACAGTAGGAGTAAGACTAGACTCTTCAGTATGGGTGTGAGATGTGTATGTTAGTACTAAGTTTGTTCATATTTCATAATTAATATTTCCTCCAAACACGGAAGCAGATGCTCAGCCCTTTATTTGAAGATGACCAAAACAAACACATTTGTGTGTGTGTGTGGATTAATTTGCACTAATTAATTATTCACCGTGACATAGTAAGATAAACGTTGTGATTTATTTTTATTTCCATTGTACTTTAAGACTCCTTGCAAGTATACTTTTACATTTCTTTATAATTTTTGACCAAGTACATTACTATAAGTGAACAATTTGTTGTAGTTTAACTTGAAAACACAGCAGACTAGACCCTTCAGTATGGGCGCGCGCATCAGCATGCAAAAGAATGAGCGATTCTGAAGAACGGAAGTGGACCGACCATTTTGAAACCCCGCACCGCCTAGGTAAGATGGAAGATTTTTTTCCTGTTTATATACATTAATCCTTAAATCGATTCGTTAATTCGTCTTATGGCATCGATAGCTAGCAATATCCGGCGAAGAACGGGATGATAATGCGGATCTCGCGGTGTGATTTAATAGAGAAAACCGCGGAGGGTTTGAGGGGGCGCGGGGGACACCCAAAAAATGCTCACAAAATGAGTCATTCAAGGATTTTTAAGGGGGGTGGAAGGAATGATAGCCAATATTTAATGAATACATGGTTATAAAACGCCAACAAACACTGATAGTGTCGATTGTTTAGCATGGGAAGTGTTTTGTAAACATCTGGTGCCAGAAACGTTACATTTAATAAACGCTGTTGTTGATGCTAACATTGAAAGGCTACATAGTGAACGGCTAGTCAGCGTTTCAGCACATCTTCACACCCAAATTCTCACTTAAATGGGATTTTCTAAGGATTAGCAGAAAGCATTCGTGATTTAGCGTGATGTGTGTGCTAATAACACACGAGCTGCTACATTGAGGAAGTGAGCGTGTTTACTCTGCGTCACCAGATTGCTTTTTATGGCTGCAAGTAACACATTCTTATTTACACCTTAAATAAATGTTTCATCGCGATCTTTGCCTGTTTTTGTGCCATATTCGTTCATTAATGTGTGTTGTTATGTTATGTGCTAATGTTAAAATTGAATTAGCATGACGTGTATTTTGTTTGTTTGTTTATTGACAGCATGATGATGATGATGACTTCCTTTTGTTTGTGAATTGTAAGAAAATCATAGAATGAACACGTTATGTTGTTTTCACGTTGGGGAAAACGATTATATAACTATTATAGGTCTGTATAACTGTTTCTAATAAACATTAAACGGTATTAAGTATGTTTTTAAAGTTAACTGTAACACTCATAGACTTGAGATCTTAAGATTGTATCACTTTGGCTTTGTCTGAGATCACAAACCTTCCTACTAACAAGCAAGCGATAAACAGTGTGAAAAGTCAAGCATGTCTGATTTAATTATTATAAGGACAATCCTTAAACTACGGGCGCTTTTAGCCTTTTCAAGTTGACTAAAATAAACGTGTTCAAAATTAACGTAACATCGCCTCATAAGTTTAAACAATTTGTCTACTTTTAAGGCCTGTAAGAGGACAAACTTGGATAAGAAGAGAAATTGTTCATATTTAACATTATTTTCCATCGTGAAATGAACAAATATCCTTTCCACCACATGTCAATATAAAGCTTTTACGCAATTATGGCAGTCAAACATTGTCTAAGATCATTTTTGTATCTAGGTTAACCAATCTTTCCACAATATTCCGTGCAAATGTCAACCTTGCCATGAAAAAATTAATGTATTCGCCAAAACAGCGAAGTCGTTTTTGCATTTTTTGTGTAGGCTTGTATTTTACAGTGCTTTAAAAAAATACTCAAAAATGTTTCTGTCTGTGTTTTCAAACTATTTTATTTAATTTACAAAAGTCACACAAGTGGCAATTCTGTCACATCCATAACGGAGAGATGTCACATCCATAACGAAGCTTTTTCCTTATAAAAGCAAAAATGTTAAATAAAATCAATCCTTTTTGTTCTATAGACAGCCGACTGTTACCCTTTTGATGATCATTGTAGAAAGTTTGTGAATTAAACTGCACAACCCAAAAGAAACACAAAGTATATTGTACACTTTAAACCCGCAGACTTTTTTGGTCACATCCATAACGCATGTTTATTTTCCTCATTTAAAACATAAAAGAAGTTTACAGATTGATATTTTTCTGCTCCCATAGTTCTGTGATTAGTTGTTCTGGAAAGTATAAACAAATGTTTCAATATAATGATGTTAACATAAACTTTCTCTGTGATTTTACGTTTGATATTTTACTGCAAATGTCACATCCATAGTGCTGGAATTGCTCATATACAATAATGATACATTTGCATATACATTAGTCACACTCTAAAACTTAATATTAATGTGGTTAAGAGCTTATTAGAAAGTAAATAAACTGAATTTGTATATTAAATAGCGCATGAACATATACACTGTGAATACACTTATAATGTGTGAGGAGAACTTTTAAAATATATATTTTTTAAATGTGTGGAAACACATTTCACCGATTAGCTTTGAATTGATACTAGCCTATCATGTATACAAAACACTCTTATTTACCTTAATTTTGTTTGGTTTTTATAAACATCTTTGAAGGTACAACATGTTTGGAAATGACATAGAATAAATGCATTTCCTTATCAAGCAATATTTATCTTGATTTTTCTTCAAGTGTTGTTAAAATGTAAATTCTCCATCTTGAACATGTTCTCAGATGGCACTGTTCATTTTCATAGAAATCGCCTATAATAATAATAATCTTTCACACAAACTTTTTAAAGTGACATTACAGTGTTGTGGAAATGACACAGATACTGTGCCACAGCTATATTTTGTATAAAAAATAATATTGATAATAGTGTCACATTAACAACTATAAAAATTTTAACTTATTTTACTAATGCTTAGTTAAAATACATTAATAGACGCCAGATAAATAATATTTTAACATGTTATTTTCATTTTTGAAGTTTAAAACTGGGTGTGCGACATGGTGAAAACAGTGATTTTGACACCTAAAAGGATATATATTTAATATGAAAAAAATATAATAGAAAGCTAGTAATTAAAAAAAAATAGGTTTTATTGTTAGTTTGACAAAAAAACGAGAAATTTGAACAGAATTATATATATTTTTTGGATATGATTAAAGGACATAAAAGTGCCTGACTGCCTGTAGTTAAAGAATTACCCATCAACGTTTTTAAGTGATTACTTATCAAAAAGTACCTACTTTTTGTCTATATTTATGAAAAACATGATGATATAATAATTGAATAGTGACCATAGATTGATCACATTATGTTGTGTTTCACTCAGGAACAACAATATAGCCATTATTCCCTCTCCCAGAGCCTGATTCCCTTTCCCTGATTCATATAAAACAATACTAGCAAAAGAAATCATGGTGTCACCATGTACCACGCACCTCAGTATTTTACAACACTCTTGATTGTTAATCATTCACCACTACCATATCTTATTTTTCAGAGTACTCGTATTTATCTTTTGATATCTCTGTACCATGGTAACTTTTTTTTTTTTACACAAGGGATTGCTTGGTATTCATTTTTTATAAATTTGTATAGTAACTTGTATGTAACTATTAAGTGCTACACCTATAGACCATCATAGTGTTGTAACATCTTGGCCACATCTGAACTTTCATACCTGTACAGGCGATAAACGGTGTGTGAAATATACCACGATATTGGAGAAATCTGATATTGCGATATTTTATTTTTCGGCAATAAATATTGCGACATGAATATCATTTCACAAGATAGTTTTTCGGGGAGTTTAACAGTATCCAGGTTCAGAAATTAAATAACCACAATAGAAAAAAATGCTTTTCTTACTTTTTGTCTTGTTTCTAGATCAAATATTACAAAATATTTAGAGCAAGAAAAAAATTGTTTTGTTTCCACCGTCAGAAGAAATAAGTCACAATTAAGAGATTTTAATTAAAACAAGCTAAATTTTCTACCAGCGGGGTCAGTGAAATAATCTTGTTTTTGCTAAGAAATGTAGATATTTGCATATCTTTGCAATGTGACTATTGCGGATGCGCACATTGTGATATTGATAGTAAAATGATATATTGTGCAGCCCTAATGTCTAATTTACATTTATAAAATCTTAAGCATAGTTTTTCAGTTTTACTTGATCAAAAAAGTTTTTAATTTAATTAGATTTGCATTCCAAGCCTTCAATAAAAACTTTACTTTTTATTTTTGATACAAAATTCTGCACAGTAATAGCAAAGAATGTGCACAGATTCTGTCTGCACCTGGACTAGGCATGGGCCAGTATAGGTTTCTAACGGTAATTTCACGGTAATGTGATTACTCCTCTAAAATATTTTCTTTTTAAGTGTCTGGGTAAAAACCACAACTTTTTCCATATTTTAAGAAACATTTTAAATATTTTGGTGCAGTAAACATGTCAGGCCAAATAATTAAAAACAAATCATTGACTTTTGCTGTCTTCATTAGTTTCAAAACACAGATTTCTTTACAACTTAAAAAAGGAATCTTTGGAGATCTTTCTTTTTAGATATGAAGTAAGCCACTGTACTTTTTAGGTCCAGAGCATGCTTGGATGTTGGTGTGTGTAAGTCATTTGTTTTTCACTAATGAATTGTGGACTCATAGCTTTTAATGTGGATGGCCTTTAATACTGGAGATACGGTTTCCCTACAAAACTAAATAAAACGGTCAGAAAAAAACACATAAAAAAACAACAACTTGCAAATACTGTAGTTATAACAGAAAATTTTAACAGTTTCAGAACCTTGACAAATCCAAACTGTAGTAAACCTTGAAATGTCCCATGCCTACCCTGGACATAAGTAACTACTAACTATCCATGTACTGTAAATACTTAACTATACACACAACCTAAGACTTTATATGTAAAAGTACTTGTATAGTCTGTTAGGTTATGTGTTTAGTTCTGTATTTATAGTATATGTATAGTTAGATTACTGCTCCAATTTGTTAGTATAGGCTTAAAATAGAGCTGAACGATGAAGCGTTTCTAAACCAAAATCACGATTTTTCAAAATCATAAAGCTGCGATTTTGATGCACAATCAAAAATGGTAACGAGCATAGTTTTTGACAGTTCGTAAGCTCATTACCCTGAACAATCTGAAAAATGTAACACAATCTAAATGTGAAGGTTTTTAAGGCCTTAGAATTATTCGTTCTTTGCACTTTAAATGGCAAAAACATTTGCTGTTTCAACCCTAATGTAGGGTATCTTCAGTGTTTTACTGATGTAAAATTGTTTGCAGTGTGTTTGGATTGTTAAAAGTTTAAGATTTTATCTATAATTTTTTATTTTGTGATTTTCTAGTAATTATATATATATATATATATATATA